CGTTGAAGCTTATTTAAGTCAATGTGCCACAGTCATACAGTAAGTGACAGTTTCCCTCCCCTCCCAACAAAGAAGTGTGCTAACTTTTCAAGCTTTTGTGCTTTGTGGGTTGTTTTGTAAAGTGATGATTTCAATATTAACTCCCCCTCTCCCCCGCTCCCCATCTCAGCAACTTGATTTTCCAGTACATTTTTTTTTGGGCACACAATCAGCAAATTGTGCTCATTTTGTTTGTTTTGTATTAATTGCTCCCTTTCACTGGTTGACCTGAAATCCACAGTCTGGATCATTTTGATATTCTATAGTAACAGCTGGTAATGGCAGCTCAGAGTTCTGCATAAAGCCTATTAAATATGCCGCTCACTCAATGGCCTGTGGTCTGGGAGAAGGGCTCCTCCCAGAAGTGTGGCAGGCTTTTGTCATTGTAATTGGGCTGTGTTTGCTGAGTGCTGTCTGTATTTACTCTTTGCCAGGGCTCATGTTTACACAGCCTGTTGGGGGCTTGATGTGTGTCCCTGCCATGCCTCGAATGCATGCAAATACAGCTAGGATGCCTTTTGGGCACTTCTGCTTTCTTGCAGGGCTGCTCTGCTACTCTTGTCAAAGGCTACATACAGTAAGTATGTGTGCAGCAAGGCTGGGATAAGAAAATAAAAGGCCTTGAGGGTTTGGGAAAGTTACTAGCTTAATGCCCCTTAGGTTTAGAGAACAGTAGTATGAAAAGTGCCTGACCTTATGAGATTTTTTTTAAAAAAAGGGAAGAAAAAAAACTATCCAGAGAAATGAGCTGGCCCTAGCTCTTTCACTCAGCTCATTCATTCATTCAGGAAGCAGAAAGCACAGAGCTAGCAAATTTAATAAGCACTGCATCCATTACACATTTAGCTTCTGCCATAGCAACAGAGTCAGGGGCATTCAATCTCCTGTGCTCAGCCATCATTATCTCCTGAGCCATCTGTTGTAGAAGAGTACAATTCCATCTTATTTAAATGAAGGCAAGCCAGCATCTCTTTAACAGGACATATGCCACATACACACACACACACACAAATAATAAAGCAGCGTTGGTCTGACCTGTTTTGTCCTCCCTCCCCACCCCCCCAAAAAAATGTTTGTGGTCGATAACATTTTTACAGGACGGATTATGAGAAAAGCGTGAAGATCTTCAAATCATGATCATTCTGACGTCGAATAACAGGGTGAAATATGAGTGAGGTGACTTTCTGTGTCAATCTGGTGGGTGTCATCACGTTCTGGTGAGTGAGCTACCGTGTGAGTAACCTGCAAAACCTAATGGTACAACAACAGCAACAAGAACAATGACAACAACCCACCACAAGTGACCATGTGCCCGCAATGATGGGGTTTGGGCCTAGGTTTTGGAGTATTGTGTTGATGCTTGAATGGCAATTGTGTTGTGTTGCTCAGCATCTCTGCCTCACGATTGGCTCCTGTGTGTTGCATTGAATCTTAATCATATGCAACATTGGCTGCGATTGGTGCAGCTGTCAGGTCGGACTCTGGCTTCAACAGATAAGTTGTTTGCACTTGGCAGTAACTTTCCAGGAATGATCTTCACTTCTTTCTCTCCACTGTTGTTTGCTGCAGCTTCTTCACCCAGAGACTCGCAAGAATGAAGTTGTGCAGAACATTTCTTGGTTTGTACAAACAAAAAAAAGCTTTAACTTACTTTGCTTTCCTTCCAGCACTCAAGAGTCTCAGAGACGAGGATTGATTGATTGATTGATTTATTGGCACAACTGCGTAAAGTAATTGTTGGAGGCGTTAAAGGAAGCTGAGAAACTTTTCTATTGACTGTGTGATTAAGCATTAAGTGCTTGCTGTAATTGTGTTTTTTTTAAAAAAACACAAATACAACTAAGTTGAACGATTCGAATTTATTTCTGAACTACTTTTGACAACATTTTGCAAATTGTGGACTTTTTAAAACAAAATAACTGAACTGAACGATTCGAGTGAGTTTATTTCTGAACTACTTTTCTGAACAAAATGTTGCAAAATTAAAGTAAAGTCCAGTTTTTTTTTACACACAGCGTTCATTTGATTTTGCCCATGTTGCAATGCTTGGTATTTAACGTTTGTAAACTTTTCGCTTTTCTAATACAACTTTTTTTTTAGCAGAATAGATTAATGTTGCGGTGCTCAGTCACACAGGGTGACCCCAAAAAGTTGTGATACCATTACAATGTCTAACAAGTCTTAAAAACATGAACAAATGAAGTAATTGTTATTAAAAAAAGAAACGGTAATCATGACTTTTGGGCCGCCCTGTACGTCCTGAAACACCTGCCAAACCTTGTGCAGTCAGGCATGAAGGTTTTTAAATACTTTTACTATTCTTAAAAGCTATTTTTTTGCGTGTGTGTATGTGTGTGTGCACTGAAAAAAAAAAGGGCAAAGGGATGTCATTTTGTCCCAGGGCATCAGACAAAGAAGTTTTGTACTCTTCGGTGATGCTGGTATGCCCCTAACAGGGATCATTAAGACAATGTTAGCCTGAAGGCTTATTAAAAAGTTTCTGTGTGTTGGCTCCATCTGCCAGCGTCTGCCAAGGGCAGGTTTCACTCCAAACACTCAGCTGTTACATATACAATATTAATGCTGACCAGTTTGCATTCAGCATACAACAGGACTAATTGTAGTCTGGGTGCATTAGGGTTGCCCATCTGCATAGGTTCAAAGTCTGCTGTAAGACGAACAGGAAAAAAATGAATTCAATCCCAGCTGGTATTCACACAGAGAGAGAGAGAGAGAGAAAGAGGAGATTCCCTTCATTGACTATGTGAAAAGTTTTTTTTAGTTCGTGAACTTGTCCGCTATGTGGGAGAAAAAATTCCAATTAACACTCAGGGAAACTGAAAATAGTTTTAACAGCAACCTGAATTCGGTTTCGTTAACAGTTTTGTTCAATTAAAGATCTATCAGATATAAAGTCTTGTGGAATCACAGTGTAGATGAAACCGTTTTAAATTCTCGTATTGTACTGATGTGATCGGATTGTATTTCAATCTATATGTAAAATTTCTGTTTAAATAATAGATAAGTGGTTAAGTCTAAATTGTACGATTTGGGCAAAAGTTTTGATTTCCCCCCCAAAAAAATGCTGTTCCAATTCATAACCACGTACTTAAATATTATTTTACAGGAAAAAAAACGTAACCTGATAACTAACCACTGATGTTGTCTAGTAACCTTGCAAATGGTGATTAGCCTAAACCTGAACAGCATTTGAGCTTTTGAAAAGTTTGGGGTTACGTTGAAAACTTTTTTTTTATTTTTTTAAAAACTGTTTAAAATGTTTTCCAAAGAACTGCGTCAAAAGTGCAGCGGCGTTTTCACTTGAAGACTCCAGTCGTGGCCCAGAGTTAAACTTACAGTTAACTGAGTTAAACGGAGTTAAACTCAGTCGTATCGCATTGCCAGTGTTGAGCTGACAATTCAGGTCGTGCTTTCGGTAGGAAAGAGAAAACTGAGACTGTGTGCAGGAAGCAGAACTCCCCAGAGTTTGCCAAAGTGCTGAAAACTATGTTCTTTGTCCTGTGCTGATCGTTCAGTGACTGAGAGGAGCTGTCCATGGTATCCACTCTGTAAAAAAACTCTCTTCCAGTCGTTCTGAAACTTAACGACACCCCAACGTCCTCATCCGCAGAGGGTAGATTGGTGCAGATTGGGGGGTGTTGCTGATTCCATGTTCTTTCGAATGTTACTTTTACTTGCATTGATTTAAGCATTCCTTTCTGAAACCCCCCCCCCCCAAAAAAAAAAGAAAAAAAAAGAATTATAACGTTCAGGAGTTCTGCCCTTTGCTCTCTCTCCCATTGCTTCCCGTTCCGCCAGAAACAGTTGTGAACTGCGATTTAAAGTGTGGTTGCAGAATTCACAAAGTTTTTCACACTTCCCAGAGGTGTTCTCTGGGTGAAAGTCACTTGCTGGGGTGGATTCTTTGTGGTGTCTACGAGGCTGTTTGTTTCTTTGTTATTCTCTTTTTTTTTTACACACACACATAACATATATACATATATTTTTTTAAAAAAGCCACGATACAGCTGATCCACACCAGACACTGCTGATTGATTTCAGCCATAATGCATAACAAAAGAAGTGCAATGTATAATACTGCCTGGTGCTCTGAGATAAGAATTTAATAGAATTTTGGCAAGAGGAGATTGGCTTGTGGAAAGCTTACTCTATGCACAACCTGGTAAAGTGAGATAGAAAATGGCATTTGAATGCAAATCTCCAATGATCTTAATGAATGGTTGCTGTCCTTTGCTTCTAATAAGGTTTGAAGCCAACAAAGGAAGTAGCTTGGATAACCTGGGGCATCTGCCATATCCTGGGCTGCTTATAGTGTTTCTAATAGGAATCCTAGGACTCTACCACAAGTCTGGAGAGAGGAGGGAGGTTGACAGTTCTGACATCAACAACCTTTTTGTTTTTAATTGAAGTGGGTAATCTCGGTCCTGTTACAATTTTTAATGGGATTGGACGCCTTAGATTGCTCAAACCTCATGAGGCAGGTTTCTCTTTTTTTTTGGTAAGGGGGTGGGTGGTGGGTGGGAAAAAAAAAAGTAGGCGTTGGGACAGGTGGAACTCCATGTTGTTGGCTGTGGGGATGGCCGGGGAGCCGCCTATTAGGGAGTTTACAGTAAATTCATTTCTCTCCCCTCATAGAGTAAACAGATATATTGCAACCCCAAGGGTTTGTGGGTAGTGTATTTACACAGAAAAATGCATCAAGGCTCCTTGTGCCATCCAACTAATGAGGCTGGTCATTAAGTAAATGACACACAGTCTTTAGCCGGAATCACACTCTGCACCCACTGGAGCCTCAGATATTTAATACAGCCACACATGTCTCCTGCTCAGACGGGGACCATCTCGGCCCAGCCCCTGCTGTAGGTTTGCCTTCTTGCTTTTCCCGTGATGTCATTTCACCGAGGTGGACAATAGCTGTTGGGGGGGTGGGTGGGGGGGGGGGGAGAGGGGAAAAAAAAAGGTAAGTCAATATTAATGTTTTCTCTCTCTCTCTCTCTCCTCTCCACCTCCTCCACCTCCTCCCCCTCCTTACACTGACAAAGGAAGACACACACACACACAAAAAAGCTCGCCCCCCATCTCTCTCTCTCTCTCTCTCTCTCCCCTCTGGCTTTGCCCTCTTGCTGAAAGTCTGATGGATAGAGAACTGTAACTGTTGGTTGGTTGGTCCTCTCTGGTCTGGTTGGGGGTGAAACAATTTGTTTGAACTGGGACAGCTTTGCCACACACACACACACACACACAGAGGTTATTCATTTACAGCCCAATCCCAGCAGAAGTGTTTGGATTCCCCCCCCCCCCCCCCCCCCACTCCCCTCTCCCCTCCCCACCACCCCCACCCATCCTCCTGTTCCTCTGAGCTTTGGATGGACACAGTTGATCTGTTTGTCAACAAGAAAAGCCACTTCAGGTTGAATTTTTCCAGCACTTTAAGCTCCTTCTCCGATGGAGCTGTCTGTCTGTCTGTCTGTCTGTCTCTCTTTCCCCACCACCACTCATCTCTCTCCATCATCATCACCATCATCATCGTCTTCTTCCATATGTGGTCAGTTTAATTTTTTCAAACAATGACTAAGTCGGGAATCATGTTCTTTTTTTTCACCGCCAGAAATAACCCTTTAGATTGAAGTTGATCTGTATACTGCAGAGGGTAAGAGAGAGAGAAAGAGAGAGAGAGAGAGAAAGAGGGAGAGGAAAAAAATATATCGTGGTGCTGTTTTGGTATGTCAGCTGCTTGTTGTGTTTGAACTATCAGAGTCCTGGTGATGGGAGAGGAAAAAAACTATGTAGTGTGTAGTGTTGTGATGGGTTAACGGGAGGCAGAAGCAAAGGTCTGGTGCGACTTTCAGGATGTTCTGCGTGTCGGGGACTTTTTTTTTGATAAATTAAGGCCATCGATGAAACAGTCTTTTTTTTTTGGTGATATGTACATCAAAAAAATAACAGAGCAGAGAGGGTAGGAGAGAGGCACTGCCTTTGATGCCAGAGTCGTGTTTGGTCCTTTTCGCTCCTTTGCATTTTTCTGCTTTGTTTCCCTTCCTCTGTCCATCCAGTTCATGTTTTTTAAGGTTCATTGCAAATCAAGATTAATGGAACTGTTTCAGAGTTTATTTTATATTGTGGCGTTTCAAAGGAAAATCTCTTTGGATTTGACATGAATTTTTTTTAATACCGTGTGTGTGTGTGTATACATATATATATATATTAAAAAATATACCTTGATGTGTGGCACAAAGAAAAGTAGTTTGCCTGATGGAACTTTTCCCTTTAAGTGCTACTTGGGGTTAATCGTTCTGGGGGTGGAAAAGTAATATTTATTTCTGAATAAGATTTAACGTAATTGGATTGCACGTTGCATTTTAATTTTATTTTTAGACCTCCTAAAGTTTCACTTGAACCTGAACTGTGAAGGCATGCCTCGTGCATCTGGTGTGGAACTAACTGCACAGTCGTATTTTTCTGCGAAATATTCTTTATATAAAAAAAAACAATCACGACTTCTAATTCTTGCAGCCATTCATCTCACTCTTTACTGTTGACTTGGAGAATTGCACGATAAATGTGTTCCAGTGACAAAAGCTACTCTATAAAGAAGTCTTGCTCATGTCAAATAATAGTTTCAAGCTGTGGGTTTACAGTCCCTCTGCCCATCGTCCTGATTATTTTGTGTTTGGATCTGACGTTGTTTAGCAAAATGGGCACAATGCTGACAGACAATTTAGTGCAATCGTTCTCACAGACCTGATCTGCTCAGATTTGTTTGCGTGATTGGTGGGAAAGTGTTGATTTCTATCATTGATTACACAGTGACAGGAACAGGTGACTTAATAAAGATCCAGAGAGAAGAGGGGGGAGAGAAAAAGCAATTAGCTATGAGAATAGACCAGCTGTTTTAAGCAGCTTCTTGTTTTCCTGGGAGAGTGGTCAGAAATTAGTGAAATACACTCCACCTCGAGAAACACTACTATTAATAAGCACAATCCGGGCCAAGAAAATAAAAGCAATTATTCTGTGTACTTGCGTTTAAATTGATGGAGAGTGCTTTCCTAAAAAAAACACAAATTGTTAAAAATACTGTGTGTGTATTCCCGTCTTTGGAAAATCCGTCTTAAACTGTTTTAATAGAAAAAAGGGATGTTTCCTTGACTGCACGGTGTAAGTCATGGTAACCTGACACTTTAAAGGTGGTTTACAGTTAGTTGCTGAGAGTAAAATTATTCAAGGAGCATTTGGTGTCTTCTATTCTGATTTGAAATATTAATTACTTACATGTAACGGTTTGAAGCATTTTTGAATACAAGATGAGATGTAAAGCGTGTTACTGTACTGTCATATCCACTGCAAGCTGCAAATACCCCATTTACATTTACCAGAAAAGGATCACATGGCCTGTAAGTGTAGTCAGCAGGAAGCCTTTGTTTAACCTCATCAGACTTGTCACATTTCAAATTGAAATCTGCAGAACACAGGAAGAGGCACAAAGGATTGTGTTTTTTTTTCTGAATGTCTTTGCATTTGATCATTTGTTGTTAATTCGAGGAAAGCGATTTGTAATCTAAAATGTTCCCACAGGCAATCGGTACAAGAAGTTTTATTCTGGTCCACAGAATAAGGTTTTTAGTGTATAAGGTGAATGTGCCGACCTCTAGAACTTCTATTAATACTTTGGATGTATATCACGTGATTACCTAAGTACCTTGATGCATTTGAGTTGATTTATAAGGTGTTTTTTTTGTGCACGTTGCAGGTATTCTGTTTCCCTGTTTATCAGAGTAAGCTATACTGTAGAACAGTTTGACCAGCATTTATCTCAGGTTCTCCTAAACAATCCAACTTACCACAATCTGACCTAAATCTTGGCTACAATGTACAGATGGTTGGTTATTAATACAGTACAAACTACACAAAGATCATTTTACATTATATTTGTTTGAAGTCAGACTGTAATCATTTCCTCACAAGAAGCTGAAAGGCTAAACCCAGGGTTCATAACATTGCACTTTACCTCCAAGATTCAGTTCAAGAAACTTTTGAAAGTAAAGGGATTTTCTCATGGACTTTCAGAGTTTCTTTAAAAATCAGCCTTGGTGGAGTTTAAACTTAGAGCAATCTGCTAAAAACACAAAATGGTAACTGTAAATTGTGAACAAGAAAATAAAACATTGAAAGACATAAGAATAAAATCAAACATTGAAACAGTTATCATGGTTATCATATTACATTATATATATTTTGAAATCACAATTTCTTAAATAAAAGAGGCCCGACAGCATTGTATCATGTGTCTCATGGTGCTTTGTTTTTTGGCTGGGATAGTGAGGCAGTGTATTATTTATCAGAGCTGAAATGTTCACTAAATATCTCTAGCTCATTTCTGGATGTTTCAGTTCAGATGTTTGTGTCCCTGGATTCCCCAAATATAAATCTATATGTGGCAAAAAACATGTTCAACAATAGAACTCGTGTATGCATGGATGCATGGATCTTCTGAACTGATGTGTTAATGAAAATGGCTACCAGCTGCCCACTATTGAAGGAAAAATTGACCTTTTAACATTCATCTGGACGAGCTTTACATTGAATCTCTAGCAGCTAAGCTCACAACAAATTTCCATTCAGTCTAGTACAGTTCACACAAACTTTTGGTAGATCTATTCTGCAGTAGAACTTGCCTTATTGTTAAACTGTAGGAAACTACTTGATTCCAATTGTCTCCCACATCAAATCGAAGATGTAAATAGATTACTTAGACAAGGATAGATAGTAACTAGGCTACGTGGAATAGTAAAATAGCACAAAGGCACAACAAAAAATGAAGATTGTGGTGGTGGGAGGAGGGGGGTGAAGCCATAAAAATTGATAAAGCAGAGCTTGTTTAATGTTTGTTAGTGCTCACATCTGTGCATGAGGCAGTTATCAGCTGTGTCCTCATCCCTCCCTGTGTTCATGGGAAAAGGAACAGATGGGGTTGCAGCAAAAGGTTGCTGTTTCACCCAAGAAATTAACCATATGCAGCGTAGAAGTAGTGATTTCTCGAAAAGTGCTTCACAACAGGGAGCAAAAGCAGCAGAAAAGTGTATGGAGGGGTATTTTCACATGGGAAAATAAGTAAGGCAAAAGAATAGGACAGAAGCTGACATGGACCATCTTTTATTTGTTACCAAAAAAAGTATAAAAGAAGAATCTGCAGGCTGCAGATTTATATTTTCAGTTCAGTTGATTGATTTATTGATATGATGATTCTTTTAAACGGAGAATAGACTATTTTTCTAACAATTCATTTTCACTTCTGGATAAGTCCCATACATTTGTTTTCGGAAATCCATATGCATCCAGTGATTGTTTTGAAAGTTGATTAATTGGTATGCTTTTGGAAAATGAATTTCAACAAGTTTTATAAAAAATATTGCTAAGATTTGCTAAAATAAGATTGCAAGGATTTATACAGAGAAGATGGATTTATCTGTGTTGTTTTGGTAGTAATCTGTATGGAATTATAGACAAGAAATGGAAACAAATTTGGTCATTTGTTTCATGGCTGTTTGTGGGACATTGCTGTGAGCAATTGGGCTGCTGTCTTCGACTAGAAATATACAGCCATTCCACTTTACTGTAAATCCTATGAAGCACTTTGGGACATTCTCCTGATGTGAAAGGCACTATACCAAATGCAGAGATTATTATTATTTCAAATGAAATAAAGCAAAGTGAAATGTTGATTCAAACATTTACGTCAACATAATTTTAAACCCCAAAACTTAGGCAGCCCTTAGACTGTAGGTCTAATATGTTTCTAGTGAGATTATCTTTCTTTTAAAATAAATAACCTTTCTCTCATAGTGCCTTTCTATAAATCGACTTCAAATCTGTGTCACTTGAAAAGGGACGGGGCAATCCAAACCCTTCATCAGTCCTGCAAGCCTGACCAACTGCTACCACCTCTGACTGCAATGGCTTTGCTCTCAATTCTTCTTTGTCTGTCAGTAGTCTGGTCTTCAACAAATGGTCTAAAGTGGAATTGTCACATCTCCATTGTTAAAGCAGCTTTTGAGAAGCTTGTTTTCCTCTATTACGCTAACAACTCTCAACTCGCTCTAAAAAACAATTTTGTTCAAGTCCTGTATCCTTGGAGATTTGTCCAATACCTCTCTCGCACTCCCGGGCAAGCTGCAAAAAAGTAGGATGCCCTCCCTCTACCCTCTTCTCAACCTCTCCTCTCAATTGTCTTTAACTCCTGCCTAAAAATCAACAATCACTGCAACTGCTGTCAGATCTACAGCATATTGAAAACTCTATTTCTAAAGAGTGAACCTTTCTTCTCTGACCATCTTCCTGTCACTGACATAACCGACTCTACGTGACCTACTCTATTCTTCCTGTTTTCGCCACTTCTGTAAACTTTCCTCCCTTCTTCTCAATTTTTAAATGATTAATCTCACATGCTCTCACTTCTCCTTGGACCCTCACTGTGTTGAAATGAAAGGTCAGTGCATTGTCTTCTCCTCTAACTTTCCCAGACTATGCACCTATGCAACTTCTTACGTCCTCAGTCTTTCTTCTCCCTTACAACCTCCAGGTTTTTAAACTCGATCTTGGCATCATCTAAACATCTCTTTTGGACTCTGCTGCTCTTTAATGAATTGCTGTACTGCAAGCCTTAGCTTCTCATCTTTGTTTTTAATAATAAAAAACAATTGTTGCTATACATTATCTGTACATAATATGGTGAGCGCACACTGTGTTTAGTATTTTAGCATCGTACTTATCTGGGACCTGAGATTTCCTCTTTTGCCATTCATCCTATTATTGCCTTGAGTATGTTTGATCACTAGATCAACCTCTTCTTGGCTGAGCAGATGCAAATGTGTTATCAAATGGAGTTTGTTTTAAGTTGTAGTGTAGTGGTATTGGTTTGTATTTATCATGAAGGATAATTTTGTCCTGTTTGTAATCTCAAAAACAGCGCCCTTGAAGTTATGGTGACTTTTGTTGTATAACCGGTGATTTACAGTAACTGTAGCCATTTCTACAGTTTACTCAGTGCTTCAGTCAATGATAAACCAAGTCCAGTTTGATGTTCAGAACTCTGCTTATGAGTATTATTTGTACTATTTTCCTTCTTGAATTACTGGCATAAATTGAAATCTTCGGTATCTTGACACACTTCTTCATGAAGATTTAGATAACTATCTTAATATCAGTATGATTGATTGATTTATTATTGTTTTAAGCGGAGGAAAGCATTGCAAATGGATCTTTCTGTCCACGGCAGGAAGTAATCCAAAATAACTACTTGGACGCCACTCCAATTGGTGTGTGTAGATCAGAGCCTGGGTGTTCTGCAAGGTTGAGATCAAATGGGCCAAAGAGCTTTCTTCATTCAAACCAATCTTGTGATCTAACAAAATGGAAGGTTCAACTGCTCAAAACCAACTGGAAAGTAGCACAAAAAGTGCCCATGTATCTTTGACACGTAACACGCAGGGTTGATTTGTTTTTCTTTAAATTGTTAATGCCAAAGAAGTTTCAACACACATTGGGAAATTGTTTCATCGAAGTCTGAAGAAGTTTTGAGTGTCTCGAAAAGTTTTCTTTTGTGGTACCATTTGATCAATTTGTGAACGCTGCCTTAAAGGTCCCATTACCACACAGACATCTGTTCCAGAATTAGTCACACAACTGTCAAATGATGTGAGTAAGTTTCTAGTAAATGTTATTGCTTGATAAAGATTTTAAATGTTATTTCAATCATTTGTACAATGAGCTGGAAGAATGATTAAAAAGAGATGAGTGATCTCATTAATATTATGCAGGATTCAGATAGTAACAGCTGTGCCACTCACTGATGGCCAGATAGCTAGGTTGCATGTTACTCAGTACATAGTAAGCATTTTTTTTTAGTGAGCTTGGCAGGTTTTCAGATTCAGTGTCAAGTTGACCAGAAATTGTCCATCAACTAGTTCTGTTTTAACGGGTGGGGAAATGTTTTTGCTTTAAATCACACAGAAAATGAATTTAGAGGTGAGCTGCTGAATCAGACTTGGACTCAAGGTGCCGAAAACCTCAGCACTTGTGAAACAGACGGCAGTGACCGCATCAAGCGCAGCAAGGTGACAATTTATGATGATATAATAATAATCATCCTTGCATTTGATATAGCGCCTTTTCACGTCTTCAAGATGTCTCAAAGCGCTTCACGGAACATACTGTAAAGTGGATTGACTGTGAATTTTGTGTGCGAAATACAGCAGCCAATTGCACACAGCGGTGTCCTCACAAATAGTGGATTGAGTGATGATTAATATATAATTATTATTGTTTATTTGAAGGGATTATTACTCCCAGAAATGCGATCTGCCAATCGACTAACAACCGGGTTCCTACATACTCCTAGGTAAACAGAGGTGTGTGGAGTAAGGAAACTTGCCTAAAGTTTCGCCCTGCCCAAGAATCGAACCGCTTGCGAGGCGAGCACTCTATCCACTAAGTTACAGGAACCTAGACACCTTTAGATTGGAAAGGGGGGGAGAGAGAGGAGATGGGATGAAGTTGGTGGCTGGGCTGAGGGTGGGTGGTAGTTAAGAAAGTACTACAAAGAGTCCATGAAAAGGATAGGAACGAGGCAGCCATTTTGGGTCAGGTTTGTGGTGGAGGGAGGGAGGGAGGGAAACACCACAAATGATAAGAGTAGGGAAACACAGGGACAGCCCTGCCCCTCTCTCTCGATTCCATCCCTACCACTGAAAAGAACGCCCCACCCCCCAAAAAAATGTCAACCTCTCGTTTCATTTCAAATCAGTGGAAAGACTTGGGAGGGAGGGAGGATACAAATTAAACATTTAACCCTCCCGCCCCCCCCCCCCACTCCCATACACACACACACACACACAAAAATCGCCCCATTGCCCCTCCATCCCGCTCACAATATAAACCTTTCACGTTGCGGAGATTCGAACAATAAAATAATTTCATATGCTAATGTAAGTGATGGTAGAAGTCTCCACTTTTAAGGCCAGAGGTTCCGATTGCTAATGTAGAAGCTTGGCTTCCAATCACTGCAAATACTGCACTAAGTCTAAATTCATCTGTGTCCAAGCTTTCAACAACTAAGCTTCTAACCTCTGGAATGCCCTCCCTCTGCCCTCTGTCTCAAACCTTCCTCCCCAATTTTCTTTAACTCCTGCCTAAAAATCAACAATCTCCTCAACTGCACCTGCTGTCGGACCTATGGTCAGAGTATTGAACACTACTAAATTTAAAATATCTTTGCATGGTCTTACTTTACTTGCTGTGTTGTTATTTCCTCTGTTCATTTATTTGTTTCTTATTTGTTTGAGTCTGACCCTGCCATTGTAAAACCCTCCGAGATATACTATGTGAAGGGCACCATATAAATGCAAATTGTTGTTGTTGTTATTCCTATAATTGCATTCGGTGACAGTCCTCCTAAATCAGCCACACCACAGCAAAAGAATCAGCTGATTTGTGTTAACTTTTTTAAAATTGGCGTGCAAACTCATTTAAAAAGGGATAATAGCTTTAAGCTATTATGTCATACAGCAGAATTCAAATCAGCATAACCATTCTGTATTCACAAAGTTTGTCATATCGAATTACTGATGCAGAAAGGCAGTCAAAATAAACATTGGTTATCTGTGTTCTTTACTAAAACCACGTCTTCTTAATTCTCAGCTGATTTTACCCTCACTGGGAGAGCACCCTTTTATATTTGTTTGGTTTTGCTAAATCGACCTGCCTATAAATCTACCGGATCATGTGTGCTACATGTAAGATTTTATGTGGCATTTATTTTAAATAATTTATTTGCCGAAAGAGGCAGTTGCCAAGTCACAGTGCATTTGCATATTTGCATAGCTGCCAAATTCCAAATATATGTGAATAAAATGCTAAACAGCGGTTTAACTGAACTTAGGCCCCAGTAATGAAAAGTAATAAGTCTATTGTTGAAAAAGCCTTTGAGAGCATTAAATTTCTGAAGAGCAGTGTATTGAAAGCCTAATAAATAGAATTGCAGCCGAACCCTACACCTGCTCCACTGGTTAGTTGCAAACTAAGTCACCAATGGCAATTTGCACTAAAAATAAAAATTAATTGCGTTTTCTGTTGTTGCCCCATTTGCGCATACAGAATTGCAATTTCTGCTTTTAAAATATTGAAGGCTTTAGTCCAACTTAAGTTGAAGAGCCCGCCATAGAATAATGAAGCGTGCAAGCTGGGTGTGAAACAATATACACTGGCCATGTTGTGGTGAGAATTAATCCCAGAGTTTATTAACTTTGCCTTTTACAGATGAGTCAAGATGTTGATGAGAAGAGATTGCGCACACGCTCAAAGGGGATTAGGAGTAAGTGTGACTGTGCCTTTAATTTGCTGTAATTTTTTTGGGGGGTAATGAAGAACTGCTAATTACTGGAATGATGGAGTTTCAGAATAATTTTGCTTCTAATTTTATTACTGTAAGTTCATTAACCAATGCAATTACATTTTAATTTGATACAATTGACCTCGCGATGCCCTATATACAACCTATATCTACTGATTATTCCGTTCTCCGTCTTGCTTCACAAAGAAATAACCTATTGCGTAGATTTATCAATCTATTTTACTTGTACCTTTTTTGCAATAATTTTTTTAAGATAATATTTTGTGATTCAGTGTAAATGTTGGCTATATATTAGTGTAGTGGATAAAAATGTCATTAGATCTTGCGTTTGATATCAAGTATCTTGTAAAACTAAGTCATGCTCATTCATTGTTCTTTGTCATAATTGCTCAGTACCAGTGGAACCTGTGGGGCAGGATGTAAGGTATGAATTTTACCTGTCACATCATGTGTAGTCGTGCTATTGTTACACTTTCTACAATGTTTAGTATTTTTCCTTATGTTCTATGAGATTGAGTTTGAGGTATAATAAAGCCAACTTCCAAGATAATTTTCCAATATTGAGATGCATCGAAAGATCCAAGTGCTATAAATCTAGTAAAGAACAAAATTACAGCTTCTGTAGTTTTACGCCGAGGTCTTTTAAGTTTGTCACAATTATGCTTTTGTCAGCAAGTTACTTAGTCAAAAAGATAACAGTGTTCATACAGCTGTTTCTAGAAGTGGGGGTGGGGGTTGGAGGGGTGATAGGAGCTGCTCAAGGCAAGGGGTAAGAGAGTCAGGGCATTCTAATCACTAAAATCTGGAATGTCTGATGTGACATCTAAAACTAAAATACATCAGGGTGGCTCCATCCTCAAAGGTAATCAATTTGTCTTCTGGAATTTGGCCGCTGAAAATACAATTTTAGAAGCCGAGTAAAATGCTGGTTTTGTCGAGCCGTATAAAATGTCACCTAATACTGCAAGCCAAGCAGCCATTTGTAACTAAATAAGTGTGTGTGGACACTAATTCAAGCTATAGCAATATTGGCGACCAAAATAGTGGCAAAAAAAAGCTTGTGACTTTTATTCCATATCAGGCAGATGAAGAGGTGCAATTACAAACATAGTAAGTAGGAGCCTTTAGTTTTTTCATTGCTCTCTACAGGCACTTTGCCAGGGTAAATGCATGTTATTCTCAGCTGTTTGGCAAAGTTGCTGATCTTGTTAGAAAATCCCATTATAAGATTGTGCTGTCCATGGTGCTTAAATGTAATGCTTAGAGAATTGTCTCCACAAAGGCTTTGAAGTTACTTTTTTTTTGAGAGAGAAAGACCTTGGCTGTTTTTTCCCTCTCCACCTTCCTGCCCTCTCACTCTTATCTCAGGGAATTTCATGGGAATAGAAATAGCCCAGTCCATGCCTCAGCTGGGATCAGCGCAGAACTGGAATCCAAACTGGATGTTCTAGTTTGTATCGTCTTGTGTTGCACGGGGCTATTTGCCAGGCTTCGGAAGGGCTTGGGGGTGTGGACACAGAGGGATTGAAGTTACTTTCCAGTAGAATACTTTATTTATTCATCTACAAAATACAGTTACTACACTTTAGAGTGAATCCAATTAAATGCTTTGAGACACCATGTGAGAGGCTGCTATTATTTTTTATTAATAATAGCAATAATTATAATCTTTGGTAATTCACTGACATTTACGTTTGTTGTAAGTAACATCTCTTAATTCTGATCTTTCCTTGCAACAAGATGGTTGGGGGAAAAAATGATCAGGTTACCAGAGGTATCGCCTATCTTCAACTGCACAGAGACAGCACTTGTCAAACAAATTAAGTCCTCTCTCTCTGTTAGACTCCACCACTGTCAAGCTCTCCAGGGCACTATCCCAAGTGAAGGGCGCTATATAAATACAAGTTGTTGTATTGAGTAAAACTATTAACATGTTAATGTTTCATAACTAATAATAATAACAATATTAAATGATCCGTGCATTTGATAAACTTTTTATTGTACAGCTGTCCAACCCCAGGATGCAATGGCTCAGGTCACGTAAGCGGAAAATATGCCCGGCACAGAAGGTAAACTGCTGCTTTTATATCATTTACCATCTTCAGAGCTATGTCAGTAATTTTAGAAATTGAATATTCTATTTAATAATAATAATCTTGCATTTGATATAGCACCTCATTACGTCTTCCAGGCGTCTCAAAGCGCTTCATAGATCCGTAAAAGCAAATTGACTTTATATTTTGTGGGTGAAATTTAAGGCAAGGATTTGACATACAACTTGCACTTTTATAACTTTTTTGTAAAAATGAATACCGCAAAGTACTTTGAAATATATAATCGGTTAGAACCGAAAGGGAATGTCGTTTCATAGGTAATAGGCAAATATATTTGAATTGCGATTCCAGTGTATTTAAAAAAGACGTGACTTAAAATGTTGCCTTTCATGCAAATGCTAAATTATGATATACAATTTTTTTCAATGGAAAGTTCGCAAGGTTGCCCACTGGCCAAGAAGAGAAAAATACAGGAGACTGATTCAGATCAACCTACAACCAAAAGGAAATCTCACCCTTTGAAGCTGGCTTTGGACGAAGGTTACAATGGGGACAGTGATGGAGTAGACGAATTGGAGATAAAAGAGGAGTCAGTTGTGGATGAATCAGAAGAAGCACTTGAAGAGGAAGAGGAGAAAAAGTTGGACGAGGTGGAAAGCACTGAATCAGTACCAGGTGCAGTATAATTGAGCACAGCTCACATAAATACATGAATTAAGATGAGTATTGTAGCATATTAAGCAGTGTGCAGAGATATAATAAACAGTGTTAATTTTGAACAAAATTAAGTTTACACAGGATTTCCTTTATGCAGAAGGATTGCATACATAAATAGTCTGTTATACTTTGATAAAGCATTAACCTGGTGAGCCTTGTGAACATCGCAGCATCGAATTATAAAAAGAAAATATTTAAATTTTGCTCCTTCAATCGTTTCCAAATCTGAAACTTTTAGGCGCTTTTTCTAAATGGTTCAAAATATACTATGGTACATCCTGAAAGGATAAATAGTCATCTTCTGCATCCAATTCATTATATTGATGGCATGAATGTACTGGCCAATATTCTGTGGTCTGAAAATTACATTGTTTACCACTTCATATAAACGATTGTGAAGAAAACATACACTTATTGGGGGTAAATAGGGCATGTACTAATATCCATGATAATAATGATAACTTGCTACGTATTCCCCCCTGTATGTTCGTGGGAACTGCGCATTCTTAACTGACACAATTACGTTAGGAAAATGAGTTCATGTTATTTTCTTTTATTTGCAGAAGGCCGACACAAGGGTCCAGACGATAAGCACTGTTGGGACGACACAGCAAAGAATGTCACAATTCGAAAGGACGATTTTGTTAGCTATCAGGAATTAGTTGCCAAATCACTTTTAAACCTTGGCAAAATAGTAGACGATACAGCGATTCCTTCTTTGTCGGGTCGAAAGCCAACTAACAGCGAGTCGCAGCCCACTGAGACTTGTCTTTATACAAAAGACAACGCACATCAGGAGGTGACGGACGAGGACGATAATTGTGGCCAAGAAGTCGTCGAGAGCGAGTCTGCGACTAAAGATTCTGAATCTGAAAAAGAAGTTGACCTGGATCGTCACTCAGCTGAAGAAAACACAGAAGAAATTGCACTTCCGTCTGTTGTCGAAAGCAGTGAGGAGCGGGATAAAGAATCCAAGGATAATACCGATTCCTCCACTTGTAGCAATCAGATTGTTGTCCTCCAACAAGAATATGATGAGGCTGATAAACCGTATGTAGAGGAGAATGAGTCCACTGACGTGCAATACAAAGACAATGCTGAAGTTATAGTGCAGATATCACAAGAGACTGAAGAGGAAATTAATTGTGAAGGACAACCAAAGTCAGGGACCTCCGCAAATGAGGGGGATAATCTGGAAGATTGCACTGATCAGAGCGAAAGTTTAGTTCCCAAGTCTGCAATCACCGAGGAGTCGGAAATTTATGACATGATGACGAAGGGAAATCTTGGACTCCTTGAGCAGGCCATTGCCCTTAAAGCTGAGCAGGTAAAAATGAAGAGGGAGGATTCAAACAGAGATCCTGGTAAGATATCAGGGGAACAACTGCGACACATCCATATGGAAGAAAGGCCAAACAAATCTTTGGATTCCATCAGGAAGAACCTTTACAGTAAAGGTAAATGGCACATCCTGCAATTGCTGGATTATTCAATGTGCTTAATTTTTAATTTTCAGTGTGGTCTGTATTGTTATTCCACTACACTGAGCATAAATTGTTATGGCATACACGTAAAATAACTGGTCACAGACTGAGAAAATCAGATGTAATCTGCAGCTGCACTAACACTAACACCCGTAGCTGTTGTGCGCACACTGAGAGAATATTCTCCCAATTATTCAACCCTGATCGAAAATGTCACAATGAGGTGTATCTCACAAGTAGCAGTTGATTATAATTCTTTTTGTTGAAGATCAAAGCCCTACTTTTGTTTCGATCTAAGATGATTTTTCTGAGGGCTGATGGGGAAATGCAGAGTCTGGTGTGGTACTGAGCGACAGGCAACTGGAGGGCAGTTGCTGGTTATAATAATAATGGTTGATCTCGGATAAGGTGGGGTGGGGGTTGGTGGTGAGGGAAGAAGTGCTTTTGTCTTGGGAATTGCCCAGGATGGGGAGGGGATAGATCGGCAGGCTTCCTGGTCGCTTCCTAGTGACTCTTGTTTGCTGGGTGAGGAAAGGATTAGACTCTTTTCATGATGGGTTAATAACTCTGTGGTACTTACCCTCTGCTGTACAAGCACACACACTCACACACATGTGTATACACACACACGTGTACACATACACACGCACACACATACCCACACATATAAAGAATAGCCTTTTGGAAGAGGGGGCACAGGGTCACTGTTACCTACAAAACTATACCCTCGCAACTGTTGTTGCCTTCAGCAAAGAGAAAAGGGGGTAAAGAGATGTTTTTGAGCATTCTGTTCTGTTTCGTGGGTGATTGATACAAGTTGAAAGAACAGCAATAATGTACCATCAATAATGCAGTAGTCTATTTATTCCACGCGTGATTCATCTCTGAGATTTAAACCCGGCCTGCAATAAATATCGAGTAATAATTTGTTGGAGTGAACTATTTTTAATTTCACTCCTGTGAATCATCACATCACTGAACAGTGGAATTATAATTTCTGCCCTTGGAATAATGGTCTTTTACATTCATTATCAACTATAATCAACTGCTACCCATGTAATTTTCTATATTTAATTGAATTACGTTCTGTCGAGTGAAGATTGTATGAGCAGATAATTATTCAAAATCTACCTTCCAATATTTATAATGTACTTATAGTGTTAGCTCTGCGAATTTGCAGATAAAACTTCCAAAAACTATTGACACAAACTTTATCCATGATTAAGACTTGTGCTTTCACCTGCGTTTCTCTAAATAAATCAGTGTGTTAGAACAGCTCCTCTGATAACCTTGTGATTAAAGAAACTGCACGGGTGGAGCACATGGCAATACAGACCACAAGGCAACAGGTTTGAATGATAGTCTGCGTTGAGTTGACTGATCTGAAGTGGGACAGTAGTATGGTGCTGCATAATTGGTCTCCACATGCTTGGGTTACTGGTCAATCTGATAGATCTCAGTCATTTACTAAACTATCACCAGAGCCGGCAGTGTATGTGATAGGGACACGTGCTCAAGCTCTCGTTACAGCTTTCTGTAGCTGACTCGTGTACAGGCACGAGCTTCCTGTGACCTTACAGGGTTAAGATGACTACAATGAGCTCGCAAAGAAAATCTTAGTGTTGGTGTTTTATGCACACATGATGTTGTATAGATCCCTCTAGACCGGAGAAGAGGGAGATCAAATGCCCAACTCCAGGCTGTGACGGTACTGGGCATGTGACGGGGCTGTATCCACACCACCGGAGTCTTTCTGGATGCCCACACAAGGACAAAATACCTCCAGAGAGTGAGTAAATCATCATTGGCTGATTTGGGTTCCTGTCTGATTCAACTGTGTAGCTCTACTGATTCGCACTGCGTGTCTTTTAAGAATATAAGAATTTTCTAGGTGAAAGAAGAGCAAGGTCCATCTAGTTCACCTTCCACCATCCTGGTAGTTAATAGTCTTTAGTAGACTATTGACGGTAAAGGTTTTGTTCACAGGTTTGGAGCATCACTGATAAGTTACTGTGCAGCAAAGTAACTTCATGGCAAACAAGTGTAAAGATAGATATCGGCTTAAATGTTGATAATGAAATGTGTTTCGATTTGTGAAGAAAATTCACACATGAAGATCTAAAAGCATAATATCAAAAAGGAATGGTATTCCAGCCTTTCATTATAAAAATGTAACGATAATAAAGATAATGATCCTCGCATTTGATGTAATGCTTTATCACGTCATTTGAGTCGTCCCAAAGTGCTCACAGAATTCACTGTAAAGCAATATGACTGTGTATTGTAGGCAACCACGGTAGCCAATTTGCAAACCGCAATGTGCCACAAAACAGCCATGAAGTGAATGGTCAGTTTTAATTGTTGGCAGGAAAACAGTGGGAGAAACTCCCTTCACTTTTCGAAGTGTACGTTCAATTGAAATTGCAAGGATTATTATATTATTATAAGCCTGATGGCCATACCGATAGAACATGGTTTCCATATAAACTGAAATGTTTTGTTCATGGAGGTTAAATCAATGCTTAAGAGTTTACGTAGATGTTAAACATTGGTTCCAGCGGTTGAAACATCTTTCTTAAAGTGTCTTTCTGATCTGCAACGTCTCAGTCAGTTAAAGACAATTAATCCTTAGTAGCGGGTTGATAAAGAATTGTGATATTGTCTTGTATTTACTTGTGCAGAGTTTCAGATAATGGCAGTCTCTCTACAAACTGCTCTCAAATTTAAGGATAAACTGTTCAGCACTCCATTGTTTTCTTATATTTAAATGAGTTGATTCATATCATTGCTGTGGATCTGCGCTGTGGGATCTATCATACTAATCGCTGAAAATAATCCTCGCTTGATATAAATCCTGGTTTTTAATACAGAGCCTTATCACATCTTTGTGACATCTCAAAGCGATTCACAGAATATACTGCAAAGTGAATTGACTGTATAGTTTGTGGGCGAAACGTGATTGTTTTAATGCATCTTTACAATGGGAATTCCCATTTTAAAGACATGACAAAAAATCACTATTTTCAGCCACCTGATAGAACACAGCGACATCTCATTTGCAGCTTTATCTGAAGCCCTGCATAGAACATGACACAATATGGCCAGTACAAATGATATAAGTATCCCCCCAAAAAAAACAGCAGCAGCAATCATGTTTGTTCTGTGTCTCATTTGCTTACTCAGTCCTGGCCATGCATGAAAACGTTCTGAAGTGCCCCACTCTAGGCTGCACAGGACAGGGGCACGTTAACAGCAATCGCAATACACACAGGAGGTAGGAAGCTTTACTCCGTATAACCGGTTTGTTAATTATCCTGTTTTCAAAAGCATTTACAGGTTATAGCTGCTGCAGAATAAGTATCATGATTTCAATGGATGTTACAGCTTGCCAAGACTAATTAAATTTGTTGATGATCTTTGAGTGCTGTGTGATTTCTCGAAAGCCTTGTTTTTCCCAAATAATGCAGCAAGTGGCAAAAAAAAATAGTTTTTGTAGGTATATTTCCCCCTCCACCCCTTCCCCCCTCCCATTAGTCTCTACCCTATTTAAGTCTCTCAAACCAATGCAGGAGGAAGTGCGCAATGTGATCTCATGCCTGCAATTACCCACATGTCGGGTTTCTAACCATGGCCATGATGAACAGGAGGCACTGAACTAAGCAGATGCAGATAACTCCGCGCTGGTCTTACGCACCTTCTACAGCGAGCTGAAGGCAGTTAACTTATACCAGGTCACCTACTGCGGGGGTTATGGGGTGGGGGGGGGGGATGTGAAGGAAAACAGATGTTACAATTGTCCAAAAATAAAATGGTTTCAACAATTAATCATTGCAGGTGCCCTCCTGAACATGAGCTGCTCTGACAGGTTTCTAAGACCGCAGGCATGATTTGCAAAGCTCATATAGTTCTCCATCCGTGGAGGGAAGTGAATCAGCCTGACACTCAACATGCCATGTGGGAACTCCAGTACTGCTAGCTTAGGCCTCCTGCTTGGGTTCTGTCAATTGTTAATGACCTGGGCCGATAGAAAAGTGCGGAAATATTTGCCAAAAAAAAATTGCGGGGAAATATTTGGAGGGAAATTTGTTGGGGTGGGGGGAGTGTTGGGCTTGGCAACATTACTGGATATTTACCCCTGTGAATAAGAGGGAATCGGATGGTGCAGTCAGCACACGTAAGTGCTACAGATAATAAGTGCTTCCGATTATATTAAAAAAAAGTTGGTGCCATTTTTGACTCTGGGATTGACATTTGACGGTGGCTATGAACGCGTGGGTTAGCAGTCAACATCAATTGTTGTTTCTCTGCTGCAGCCTATCTGGATGTCCAATCGCAGCTGCAGAGAAGCTGGCGAAATCTCACGAGAAACAGCATAGTGGTGAATCTCCCAAGAGCAGCCAAAGTTCTGACAGAGTGCTGAGGTAAGTGTGTTGCACCAAAGGATGTAATGTAAGCGGCAAAAGTGCACCCCACTATAAGTAATAATAATCATAATCCCTGCATTTGATAATACGCCTTATCACGTCTTCGAGAATATGCTGTAAAGTGTAATATTTTGTCAGCGAAACACCTTCCGTGAAGAAGGGAAAAGAATCAAGTTCAGGCTTCTTCATTTAAGGACACAGATCCTTACAGTGTCATCTGAATTTTTTTTGTTAAATGCAATATTAACATGCGTGGCTATTATTTACATTTTGCATTCAGAACTGATCCGTAGGCTGAGTGAGATATGGGTTGCTTCACAGTAAAGGCTCGTTAAGCAAGAAGTCTGATGAATGGGAAGGGTGCTTACTTGAGCAGAATTGTAACTAAGAGGCCTTAACTTTACGTGTGGTATTTAAGTCATTTACAATTTAGCCCTTCCTTGATTGCATGATCCTTGGATAATGGATTGCATTGTAGTCCTGTGGAATTGTGAGTAATCAGCTGATGTCTAGAGGTGAGCAGAAAGAATATCCTTCAAGAAATTAAAACTTGGGACACTATTTTAATTGTGATAACTTTTTAACTTCCCTTTGCTTTTCAAATAGCTTTTTTTTGTTGTTGCACAAATTAATTTTGCGTGTGCACGAAAGGCAATTAAACGCAAAATGATCATTCAGATCACTTGGCAACATCTGCCGGTAATGGAATCAGAGAGAAATGCTTGCAAAGAAGCCTTCGCCACTCACTTTTAACTCCTTTGTTACCTTCAGGCCGATGTGCTTTGTGAAACAGTTGGAGATTCCACACTACAGCTACAGACCCAACATGCTGCCTGTCACCCCCAGAGCTAATTTAGCTAAAGAGCTAGAGAAGTATTCCAAAGTTACCTTTGATTATGCCAGTTTTGACGCACAGGTTTTTGGGAAACGTGTGATTGCTCCGAAACTTCAGGCATCTGAAACCTCACCAAAAGCCTTTAAATGTAAGTTTGTGTTTTAAGCAGGAGATAATCAAACGTTGAAATTAAGCGAAGCCCGAAACTGCAGCCTGTGTCAGTTGACATTAGGAATGACAAAAAGTAATTTATTTCACGCTCCAGATTAAGTTCCACTGAACTGATTGTATTATTAGCAATTTTGCAATGGAAATTCTGCATGACTAAAATGACAAAACTAATTCTTAGAGAGTAACATAAATAACATCTGCAATTTTTGTATTCATTATTATTATTGCCGGTTGCATCAAAGTCAATACATATATACCTTATGTTACACCTGAGAAGGTTAGAATTGTTCGTAGCAAAAGAGTTTGCTGAAATCAGCTGTATCCTTGATATGATCCATATCATTCAGGAACTATGGGAGTAATACTGAAATGATTTGAACTGGAATATTGCTGACTTGTTTAATTTTTTCCCAAACAGCAAAACCATTCCCAAAGGCCACCTCACCAAGCCATAGTCTGTCTAGTAACTATGTTAAAAGCTCATCTTCATCTGGCGGGTATGATTATGCTCATGATGCAGAGGCTGCACATATGGCTGCCACGGCGATCCTCAATCTATCCACACGTTGTTGGGAAATGCCAGAGAATCTAAGCACTAAGCACCAGGATCTCCCCTCCAAGGTGAGTGAGTTGATTGTAAATAATAATTACCCTGGCATTTGATAAAGCGTCTTATCACGTCTTCGAGATGTCTCAGAGCGCTTCACAGGATATACCGTAAAGTGAATTGACTGTATATTTTGTGGGTGTGTATTTTGATTCCACCTGTCTTAGTGGGCAGCAGACTGCAATGCTTAGGAAATACTGAACAATAATACGAGCATAAATCAGAGGTCGTTACCACATCCCAGATTGTTCTGGCACAAAAAGAGGAGCAAAGTGATGATTCATGTTTTAAAACATTTGATATACTGATGCCTTGGAATTATATAATATATTTCGACCCATTCATTGAACCTCCATATAAAAACACAGGTGAAAAACACTTAACAAATTTTGCATTGACCAAAAATCATATCAGTTGTCCAACATGGACCAATGTCAACTCTAATCAAGTAGCCCGAGCATTCAGATTGATGACTGGAAGTTTAGGCAATTTCCCTAATTGTTGTCATTGCTTTTCTAAGCATAGTCAGCTTTCTACAGACAGCTTCTATTTCCTTTGGTCAGCCAGAAGTCTGATTTAAGTGGAAACTCATCATTATGCTTGAGAGTTTCCAAGCCAGATTAAGAGTTTCACGTATGCATGTCATCTATGCTTAAAATTTTCCTTTTGTCCAGAATGGAATGCGCTCTCTACCCAGAGGGTGCACCCGGCTTACTTCATTCCAGAAACTGTTTGGCTCAGGTTGGCAGGGGCCGGGCTTGAGGACTTTAAAGTGGACATTGGAGCAATACTGAATTTTAACCCTTATAAAACCATGTGTTGTGACACACTGCCAGCCAAGCTTCCCGCTGCTTGTCTAGCTCGGACCACCCTAGCTGTTAGGGCTTTGGCTTGGGTTAACAGGAGTTGAGTGAAGAATCCCAGCCCCCAGTGATCAGTTTGCCTTTTCCAAGTCCTGCCAATAAAGTATTACTCATTGGCATTACTCACAGTGAGCAGCTCATTGGCATTGGCTCATTCTGGTCTGAAGGTGTAGCACGTCATAATCACCATCAATTTTCAGACTGCTTACCGGATTTGCATGTGGAGGTTGAATAAATGAGTAAGAATATTACATGATCAGATCCACTGCAGCTCATGACTCAAATCCCAATTCCCTGCTCTTTCCCTTTTATATTCTTTAGGAAGAGAATATGTTTCTCTGAGTGATGGGAAGGGCGGGGGAAACTGATCAAAATATTATTTATCAATGACATGTTTTATATTCCAATTTATGTTTGATGCCCATAATGGTCACGCACCAGTTGATAACGATGAAAAGATCTGTAACAATGCTCAGATTAATGGTTAGCATATGATAGAATCATAAGATATGATCATAAGATAATTTAATAATTGTGGCAGACTGAAAGGGCAACAAAGAAGATCAGTAGAGAAGAGTTCAACCAAGTTGGGTGGGGGTTCGATTATGGATAACATTGTGTGAAAATGGTGGAAAAATGTAAAAATACAAATCTGCAGGTTAATAAGTTCAATGTTGAGAGTCGATTAAATAGAAATTTAACAGCATGAATAATCCATGGAGGGACTAACCAGAAATTAATGGCATTTATTTTCTTCAAATGTGCATAACGTATCATATGAAGTGCATTTTTTTTCGTAACAAAACTTTTTTAAAATAAATTGGTTGCATTCGGCATCTCGTACTGTACTGTGACCATTAAATAGGCCGTGGGTTGTGTGTGTGATGATGTTGGATTATTTTTGGCAGAACATGGATATTGAAGTGGATGAGAATGGAACCCTTGACCTCAGCATGAATAAAAACCGCAAACGAGAAAATGTATATTCCAGTTTAAGCGGCAATGTCAGGTCAAGCGACTTGTCCTCCCCCTTCCTTCACGGCAGCAGCAGCACCTGTAGCAGTGTCATGGGATCTCCCCAATCCAGTCAAACCTCCAAACAAGATGAATACGATGGACCCATCGACTACACTAAACCAAGCAGACAAAGGGAAGAAGAGCCCGAAGAGGTAAAACAACAGCAACTTGTATTGACATGGCACCCCCTCGCGCAGGGTAGCATCCCAGAGCGCTTGATGGTGGTGGAGCGCGACACCAAACGGCAGGGGGGAGGTGACCGTAGGCACTGGTTGAATAGGAAGGTCTTCAGGCGCAACCTGAAGATGGGGAAGGAAGGGGCAAGGTGGAGGGATTGAGGGACATGCAGGAGCCGGAGCCAGTCAAGCGGAGGCAGCAGGTGTGGGTGGGTTGGGGAGTGAGCAGGTCGGTGGTTAAACTGCAAAGACTGCAGTGGGAAGAGGCACACTGATTAGTTTTGGAAAAAATACCTTTCTTTTTGTTTACTTTACCAGATGGAACCAGCAACCTCTTCATTCCCCTCATCTGAAGCAGGAGACCTGGAGGTGATGGATGAAAGCCTGGAAGATAAGAAATACCCCGGGGAGGTGACGAGCTCCAGTCTCAAACTGAAATTCTCCTGCAAAGATGCCAAGAAGGAGCTAATAACGTAAATGACTCCACTCCTTGTTACCTTTGTTACCTGGAGATAACAGACAGACACCAGCAGTAATACATGATGTGCAGCACTTGTCAGAGAAAGAAGGAAACTAATTGAATTGGAGTAGTCAGGAAGCTCTTTCAGTAGCATGGCTGGTAGAGTGCTGGTCTCGTAAGCAGACTATTCATTGTAGATTCACAGTTTAGAGCCTTGGTCTGACCATCTCTCAAGCTTCTTTTTTAATCGCATAATTTCTTATTTGGTTCAGTGATGAGGACCCACTAAGGCTATGTGTTTAATTGTGGCGGAGCGGTGGGAGGGAGGAAGAGAAGTAACTTAGTTAGGTAGTTTGCTGAATATATATACTGTACAACTTTTAGGAAAAGGCAATTGTTTGATATTTAAACTGCGACCTCATGGCACTCTGAGGGAAAGTAGTTTTAGGAGGGGGTAGTGGGGGACTGGGGTTCTTTGCTAATTTTCTCCCTTCCCTGCCCTTTCCTAAAGACTATATGTGTGAGCCCAGCAGTGCAGAATCATTTTTTAATGATAGTATTAAAATAATATATTTTACAACACAGGATTTGTGAAAGATAAAGTAGGTAAAGGTCCTGTTTGATGTCTTTTTTGAAACTTTGCTTCTTTATTCAACTTTCTTTTCAGCTGTCCAACACCTGGGTGTGATGGCAGTGGTCATATAACCGGAAATTATGCGTCCCATCGCAGGTATTCTTTAATGATATCTTCATGTGCAGTCATCCCTTTGTTCTAATAATGATTTGGTCACTCAATCCATGGCTGTCTGTGGGACGCTGCTTTGCGCAAATGGTTACCACGTTTCACCCACAAAATATACAGTCAATTCACTTTGCAGTATATTCTGTGAAGTGCTTTGAGACGTTTGAATGGCACGTTAAGGCGCTATATCAAATGCAAGGATTGTTATAATTATTCTATTCAGCGCAATGAGAATTTGGTAATTTGACGTACTTTCTCCCATTGCAAAAAATGCAATTGATCCAATTCTCCCGGTTCTTTATTTCAGCCTTTCTGGTTGTCCTCTGGCAGACAAGAGTTTAAGAAACCTCATGGCTGCCCACTCCTCGGAACTCAAGTACGTTTCCTTTTTTACGGTCTGCATTTTCATCCACATCACATCACTCCTTTTCATTTGGGTTTTTCCAGTGGTTTGATATTTCGATGGTTTTCCATTTTGCAATAGAATTTTTTTTAAGTAGAATCGTTTTGCAGCAAACTGGCATTGCCGCTGTGTTTATTTGTACATGATGTGCATTCCAAACCACCTGCCTAACTGCAGAGCTGATATAAGTAATTAATACCAAGTCCTAATTTGTCTCAGACTTTGTCTTCTATTGACTAAGGCTTTGCTGACTTATAAAACTGCATGTCTCTACAGGTTTTTTCTCCCCCCTCATCAATGGCATTTTCAGCAAAATGTTTGCAGGAATATCGCAGGAAACTGTGTTTTATCAGCAAATCTCAATCAATGAAACCTTAGTCTCATTGACTGAGTCCTGTAGCTTAGTGGTTAGAGTACCCGCCTTGCAAGCGAGAGGACCCGGGTTGGATTCCCAGGCAGGGCGAAACTTTGGGCAAGTTTCCTTCCTCCACACGCCTCTGTTTACCTAGTAGTGAGAAGGAATCCGGTTGTTCGTCGATTGGCGGATCGCATTTCCGGTGGTAATAATCACTTAAAAAAAAATGTGGTCACTTAATCCACGGCTGTTTGTGGGGACGCTGCTGTGCGCAATCGGCTGCCGCGTTTCGCCCACAAAATATACAGTCACTTTACAGTATATTCTGTGAAGCGCTTTGAGACGTCTCGAAGACGTGATGAGGCGCTATATCAACTGCAAGGATTATTATTAGTCAATCCAGGAATAGGCATTCTTGTCATGTGCAAGTCTGGTTATATAAAGCAACTCTTTTTTCAGTCCTGAGTGACTGAATGAGTAAAACAAGGATTCCACTACATATTGCTTAAGTAAGTTTCCTTTCATTTTAAGGTGCCCAACTCCAGGTTGTGATGGGTCTGGTCATGTGACAGGAAATTATTCTTCTCACAGAAGGTGAGCCCAAGTTAAAGTGCTTTAATATCAGATGGATTATATTCCTGGCCAGAGATGTTAATGTAGTATTTAGTTAGTGTGTTGCATTACATAATCTAAACTGTCCTGAACTCAAATTGCACAAAATAAATACAAGGAAAAAGAAATTTAAAAATTGTTCCAATCACTAGAGTTAATAAGGTTTTCTGGTTGATGATTTTCCTTATGAAATTTAAGATCAGTTTTTCTTTGTTTTAAATAAATGTTAATCTGTTCGATCACAGGAGAGTTTTATTTTATTCGTAGGTCATTAATTCTGCCTTTTATTTTATTTTTTAAAAAAATATTATTTGTTAAACTGGGAGCAAGAATTTTAAAAAAAAAGTTTTAATAGTTTGCGAGGAAACATCTCTTCTGCATAGTTTAGGAAGCAAAGACTTAACGCCAACAAAATCCAAGGCCTTGTGCTGTACCCAGATCTTCTCAACTCGCACAAAGCAGCTACAAGTAGTTTTTTTGTGTAAGATGAGCTAGTATCAAAGGCAGTAGTGCTTCTCCATTATGAGTCAGTCCCATTATGGTTGTTTTTGCAGCTTGTCAGGTTGCCCACGTGCAAAGAAAAGTGGACTGAAATTAACACCCACCAAGGATGATAAAGAGGACCCTGAGCTCATGAAGTAAGTTCTGATGGTATCGTTAGCTCTGCTGTTCAGCCGCAGAAGCTAATTCAGTTACGTCTCATAACTTTCTCCCACCAAAAGAGAACTGCTAAACTTCAAACTGCCTACAGACCCTGTAGATAGTTTGAGAATGTTTTTTTTTAATGAATCGCACCTGTTTTAATTGTAGATCACCGAATCACGGTAATTTAATGTTCTGTAGATAATACCGGTGCCACAACCTTTGTTTTTTTTTAAAAAATGATCATTTTTGCTAGGAATGGCCAAGGTACATATAATATTGAATGTCCAGGAAATGTTCATTGATAATGTTCAAGGTAGACTCCAAACTATTGTCTCAAACCATTAACAGATCACTTCAATCTTAGCTGAGCTCAGTACCCCATAGCTTTGTATTGTAAACTCAGGCTTGCAGACTGTAAAGCTATACATGAATCTTTTGTGGATAGATCTATACCTTTTCAAGTGTGTACACCTGAGGTTCGACCATCTCTCATGACCATATCATACCAAAAGACTGTTGGCTTTGTATCACAGTGCTTTGTGTTTTTTTTATAGGTAGGGGGGTAAAAACTCTTAACTTATTTAGCTAAAGAGATTGTCTAGTAAACCTCAGATACAACTTGATGACTTTTCTCTTCCCAAGCCAAGGTTGAGGGTTTGTTTGTTAATAATAATCCTAATAATTCTTGCATTTGATACAGCGCCTTATCACGTATTTGCGACGTCGCAAAGCGCTTCACAGAATATACTGTAAAGTGGATTGACTGTATGTTTTTGTGGGTGAAACCAATTGTGTCCTGATGGATGGTGACTGTTAGTTGCCAGAAACTCGCATCTTTGCTTTAGCCTTTTGAACGTAGACCACAAGTGCAACTCGATTATATTTACAGAAGACGTTATTGCTTATTTTGGTAGATTTTAAGGTGGGTTTCAACACCATGGGGGAGTGGTACAGGTTTGAAAGTTATAGGGATACGTATATAAGCAGTTGCCTGCAGTTTGCTTGTAATGTGTCTGATCAACTCCATGCCAGGCTTAAACATCTCAGAGCATTCGCTACTTACACTACATACACTAGCAAATACTCTGTTTTTAAGTCTGGTCCATTATAGGTAAATTTAATGGAACCAATTTAGCACTAGAAGGGATGTGTACTGTTTCCTTTTTATTACCAAAAAGAGCTAGATTAAGAGCAGTTCAACTATTCCCAATGAGACAGATAAATATATATATGTATATAATAATAATCCTTGCATTTGATATAGCGCCTAATCACATCTTAGAGACATCTCAAAACCCTTCACAGAATATACTGTAAAGTGTAGCGACTGTGTATTTTGTAGGCGAAACTCGATAGCCAATTGCTCACAGCAGTGTCCAACAAACAGTCGTGGATTGAGTGACCAAATTGTTATTATGTTAGAGAAGTTATTACCCCCTGAAAGTGATCTGCCAATCTCGGCATGAAGGTTCTTAAAAGGTCTGGTTCATAATTTATATCAGCCGAGCTAAAACATGGCACCTCCTGACAGGCTTGTTCTCGAGCAATGTGAGTAGCATTTCCCCGCGACTCGCTTTCTGCTGGTACATTATTTCCTCTAAAATACTATTTTCGCTACCTCAGGTATGTGCCTAGTAACTTCGCTCAGGAATTGAGGCAAGCAAAATTAAACCCTAACAATCCTAAAAATAACTCTAACAAGGTTATAGGGATTAGCTAACTCGGAAGCATATGGAATACATTATGCCTATCTTTTCAGACCACCGCCACACGAACTCCAAGGTTCATTCGAGAAACTCTATTCCGGAACATTCCAGCCAAATAATTCTCCCACTGCTTCGGAAAGAACATTTAGTGCAGCAATATATCTGCACCTGTGATGTTGTCTTTTCTCTACTAAACCTTTGTGTTCGTGTCCCATTATCATTGAACTAAAATTACCACTAAGTAAATGCTCAAGTCCAGCATTGAATAATAATAATGCTTGCATTTGATACAGCGCCTTATCACGTCTTCAAGACGTCTCAAAGTGCTTCGCAGGATACACTGTAAAGCGTAGTGACTATATATGCTAGGAAACTGGAGCATTTTGTACCGTTAACTCCTTTAATGATTATGTCATTAAGGTGCGTTCACAAAATACAGTGTGACCAAAAAGTTATGATATCTACCCTATTATCTAAAAATATATCATCATTCCTTTAAAACTTATCAGACATTGTGATGGTATCATGACTTTTCGGTCACCGTGTAAAAATTATCTTTAATTTGGAAACGCGAGGTGTGACAGATCTTATATTTTGACGTCCAGGGAATTAAAATGTTTTCTGGTGCAGTAGAACTTTGTCTTCTGTGCCTAAAGCTATAATGTTGACATGGCAGACATCCCTGTGCCACTGACGTGTACAACATCCCTGCTAAATATAAACCAGAAACAATTGTACTGCCCACACTATCAAACGTCACTACTAAGTACCCAAAAAAGCAACTGCATAACGTTAACCAATGCCAAGATTTGGTCTGATTTTTGTACGTAAATTCTGTTTCAAGAAGCACTCTTTCATGCTTGTTTTTTTGTTGGATGTGTGTCCTCCAAGCATAGGGTGGGAGTTGGAGGATTTTTACTGTCAGTGCAGTTTGTGATCTGTATTATTCCAGTACAGTATTTCTGCTCATTTGGAAATTCATGATCTTGCAAATACTGTACTTTTTTTCTCCCAAAAAAGAACTTTGGTCACTACGCGCAGTTGAATTAATTATTAAATGTACAAATATTGATATTCGTGACTACATTTTCAAAGATAATAATAATTCTTGCATTTGTTATAGCGCCTTATCATGTCTTCAATACGTCTCAAAGCGCTTCACAGAATATACTGTAAAGTGTAGTGACTGTATTTTATTTTGTGGGCGAAACGCATCAGTCAGTTACATACAGCAGTGTCCCACAAACAGTCGTGGATTGAATGACCAAATTATTGTTACGATTTTGAAGAGATTATTACCCCGGAAAGCGATCCACCGATCGACTAACAACCAGGTTCCTAATTACTGTTAGATCTACTGAAAATGCTATCCTCATTGATTAAGCAACAATAAAATCAAAGTATATGGCTAATGTAAGCAGTTTATATGACCAATGAATACAAATATGTAGCCATAGTTACTGCTGCTCCAGTAACAGTGATCGGTTTTAGCAAGCAGGAAAAGCACAGGGCTGTGTATTTTATCCAAGCACTTTCAGAGACAGGATGAGATCCAGATTCATGACTAGGCTCGGGCGAAGCAATAATAATCCTTGCATTTGATGAAGCACCTTATCACATCTTCGAGGCGTCTCAAAGCGCTTCACATGATATACTGTAAAGTGAATTGACTGTATATTTTGTGGGCGAAACGCGGCAGCCAATTGTGCACAGCACTTTTTTTTATTTAGTTATTTGAAAGGAACTATTACTCCTGGAAAAGCGGTCCGCCAATCGATTAACAACCGGGTTCCTACTATTTGCTAGGTAAACAGAGGTGTGTGGAGTAAGGAAACTTGTCCAACATTTTGCCCTGCCCGGGAATCAAACCCAGGTCTCTCTCTTGCGAGGCGAGTGCTATAACCACTGAGCTACAGGACTCCACCAGCAATACTGGAATCTAACGGAGGGAATAGAAATTCTCATTTTTTTGCATGTAAATATATGGTCGCTGGTTTTCACAGCAGTTTTGGCTTCATGTGAATAAAATCATACAGCTGTGCTGGCCAACAAAAGAAAAGAATGTTTAGCAGCCATTTTGATAATGGTGTTTTGGACAAGTGACAATGTAGTATAATTATGACAAATGACATTTCAAAAACTGCAGTCACATAAACTAGCCAAAAAAGTACTTGTAAGGGGTTCGGGGGAGGGGGAGGAGAACAATAGTGCTATGTTTTACTCTAATCATTAAACAATACCCACAAATGCAACTGGAATCAGAAAGTGAAGTAGCAGCAAGCAACAAAATTAAATAAAATGAAACATAAGGCTGTCAGTGACTGAGGGGCAGTCTTAGTCCTTGTATGCTGTGCAAGTTACGCTTTGTGGAAAAAAATCTTCAGCCCTAGACGCAGTGTTTATTTAAAAAAAAGTTAGCAATAATTAACAGCAGTGAGACACTCTTGGATTCCACACAATACTCCACACTGTCAGAGTATTTCAGTTGCAAAAAAAAGAATTGCTGGGCTCCCGTCAAAATTAAAGCTGAATTTCTCTCTACTTCGGGCTAGCGAGATGCTCAGTGTTACCCCTCTCTCAGCATTAACAGTTCAAGAGACAATATTCAATTGCAGCACTACCCTCTGGCAACCAATCCTGATATTACCACAAATGTTAGGCATAGCCAATATGTACAAAAATGTGCTCTACCAACTTACACAGCACAGTACCGTCCACCGTCAAGTGATGTCACTTTTGTGTAAGTGGAGGAACGTTTTTTTAATGTGATGATGTTTCCTTGCCAAGCTTCTTTAGAAGTCCTTTTGCCGAAATGCCTTTGAAAATGCTCACGATGAAAGAACAGCACTTTCAAGTAATGAACAGTTTCCGTATTGTAATATTTGAATCCACCGCCCTGAGATACATTAGCTAGTTCCAAAAGCAGAGGTTAAAAAGAAGTTTGCTGGAGTAGCTTTCAGCAGCCTTTTTTCCAACTGCACGTATTTTATGTCAGGGGACTGCTGTTTAATTAATCAATTATCCCTGTGCATGCTAAAGGAACCATTTACACCAGATGCTAACTGTAACAAGGTTAGCTTTTGTAATTGTCATTAGAACGCTGTTACATATGCCAGGTTTCCATTCATCCCACCATATTTATAATAAACTACGTGTACCAGTATATTTGGAGTTGTGGAACTCTGAGTGCTTATTTACCTTTTAATATTAATGTACTGAGACTTTATACCTGGAGATTGACTATTCCATTGTACTTGGTAGCAGAAACCATTAACACTGGGTTCACAAGTCCCACTATAAATTCCGTATAAAAAATCCACTTGCTGTGTCATTTCATAATTTCCTAACAGCTCTTGTTTCATGCTACTTCTGAGCCTATACTTGCAAGCCTTGAAAAGCACCGGGTCAAAAGAGACCAACACGTTTCTATCTCGGCATCTAGCTTGGACGAGCAGGAATATTACTGTTCTACCTTTGAGGAAGTACACAGAGTAACTGATCTGATGATTTCAGACACTATCGAAAGAACTTTGAAAATTCTCCCATCAACACGATATGTATTCCTTACCACAACCCACCTTCTTTCACATGATATGTGTTGTTCAAAGTGTAAGGTGTTGCTACAGTGTTATACCTCATGGTGTGGTGCGCTGTAGGTCGAATTCCCATAACGCTGATCTGCAACCTCCCGCCAGGTAGGGGTGTGGGGAGGGAGGAGTGTGTGGAAGAGTTGACCCCAGGGTGTACTCTCATGAATAGCAGCTCATATCTCCGTGGGAGGTTTCCGAGAGGAAAGAGTCAGTTTACCTGCAACCCTTCCGATTCATCATGTTCCATTTCTCCTTTCTACCTTTGTGGGTGGAAAAATTATCATGTTTATACCTTGTGAATTGAAGAGACTGATGAAAATAATTACCTTAAAAAGAAGTGCATGTTACCAGCATAGTCACTGTCTTGTGTTATTATTCATACTGAGGCACAGGAGTTGCTTATATAAATTTGTCAGATATAGTGCAACTGGCTTTATCTACACTTATGTTAGAACAAACTGGGACTTGGTAATATTTCTCTATCAGGATCACAGGCACATTTTAATAATATAATAATCCCTGCATTTGGTATAGTGCCTTATCACGTTGTCGAGACATCTCAAATCGCTGCACAGGATGTACTATAAAGTGGATTGACTGGGTATTTTGTGGACAAACATGGCAGGCAGTTTGCACACAGCAGTGTCCAACAAACAGCCATGGAGCGAGGTACCAATTTTTTTATTTGGGGATTGTTGGCCAGGACACAGGAGAGAGAGAACCTCCCTTCTCTTTTCAAACACTGCCGTGGGATCTTTAACATCCACCTGCGAGGGCAGACTGCACGTTACTGTAAAGAATCTCTTTGGGACGTCCTTTCGACCTGTAAGGCGCTATATAAATAAATGGAAATTTGTGTTGTTTTATTGTTTTGGAATTATACAACAACAACAAATTGAACTTATATAGCGGCCTCCACGCAGGGTATCGTCTCAGAGCACTTAACAATGGCGGAGCCTGACTCCGAGCAGGGGTGATAGGGGAGGTGGCCATAAGCACGGTCGTACAGGAAAGGTTTCAGGCGGGATTTAAGAGAGGGGGGCAAGGTGGAGGGATTGAGGGAGAGTGTCCCAGAGTAGTGGCTGAAAGCGCGACCTCCGATGGTAGGGCGGAGGGTGCGAGGGACGAGCAGGAGGCCGGTGCCAGTCGAGCGGAGGCGCTGGGTGGTGAATTGGGGAGTGAGGAGGTCAGAGAGGTAGGGAAGGGCCAGAGGGCGAATGGATTGAGCATGAGAGTGAGGATCTTGAAGTGGATTATATCTATATGGTTAAAATGATAGAATGAAACGTTGAATAAAACTGTCAATTATTTTGGGTGTTTTCAGAAATGAATGCAATTTGCTAATGCAATTTTTTTTTAAGAATAGGTTTTGCTCTGCGACTCATAAATCAGGTTTCATGTCCAAATGTAATCTTTAGATTGTGTCATCTGTTTGTTACAACATTTTCTCAACAGAAAGTAACAAGTTTATTTCCAGGAAGATAATACTGTTGTCCGATTATTTTTTTTTCCTCTCTCCTGAAATTCACGCGGCAGTCTCGGACTTGCTCCAATCCTCTTTGTCGGGAAAGAATAATAATAATAATCCTTGCATTTGATATAGTGCCTTATCACATCTTCGAGATGTCTCAAAGCGCCTTCGAATAAGTGACAATGGTAGTGAAGAAAAGACACGAAGGGACATGGCGAGGTGACACCAGATGGTGAAGGGAAGCAAAGCGAGGGGACAAGAGAAATTTTCAACAGAGGCGAATATAGAGGGTGTGATTCCACCTGAACTAAATCCATGCCCACCCCCCACACAAAAAAACAGATTAAGTCATCATTTATCTTGTTGCTCAACGTGGGACATTGGTAGCACAGATTAGCTGCCACACTCACCTACTTAACTACAGTCACCACATTGTTCTTTGAAACAACATTGTAGGAACTTTAGATTTGCAGGAGATGCCGGCGAGACCTATTCTGAGTTAATGAGGACAGAATAACCCCCACTTTTATGCCCATTTTTAAAAAAAAAACATTTCCGTATTTGAAATCCACTTTGGATAACAAGCAAAGAGTTTATCTGAGCAAACGGTTTAGCAAGTGGATGTTTAAAAGCAATTCATCGTGTTTGTCTGCACTTTCATGACATTTGAGCTGTGTTTTGAATAAGACTTTTCCCTAACATCGCCTTTGCTGGAACATTGCTCACGTTCGCGCTATTCGGTTTTGAAACAGACATCAGCGCACAGAACGGCGAGTGGAAACAGTATAGCAACTTAGCAAGCCTTTTGTTTTCCTTTAGATGTCCTGTTCCTGGTTGTGATGGGCTTGGACACGTGAGCGGCAAATATGCATCGCATCGTAGTGCATCTGGCTGTCCTTTGGCTGCACGGAGACAAAAGGAAGGGTTCCACAACGGGTCATCTTTCACTTGGAAGCCTGTCAAAGGCGACGGGCCAGCTTGTCCAACACCGGGGTGCGATGGATCAGGTCATGCTAATGGCAGTTTTCTCACACATAGAAGGTACGTGTCACCACCGCTGCAACGTACAGTGAGCTGGACAACATTTAAAGCCACCTTGCCCCGCATGTAATCCGGTTTGATCTGAAAGCATTTGACGATAGGTTGAAAGTATTCGTACCTTGCGAAAGATCGCTGCTAATAAGAAAGTATTTGCCATTTCGTGTTCGATTGTTGTGTCGTTCCAAACGTGTGTTCGCGGGCTATTCGTAGTTGTAACTTTATTTTGTATTTTTTTTTCTCTTTCCCCCCCTCTCCCACCCCCAAAAAAAAATAGTCTTTCTGGCTGTCCGAGGGCAACCTTAGCCATGAAGAAAGCAAAGTTCTCAGGGGAAGATTTACTGACCACCAAGTTCAGGGCTACTGATGGTAAGAACTGTGGAGAATTTGGGAGTCAACTTGAGTCTTCAATGGAATACTACACTGCGTTTTTGACATTTTTAGATTTTCCGTGTTGTTCTTTTATACTCAAATGATGTTTCCAAGGAAAGAAAATTCTTATTGTCTTGAGTATTACAGATTTTTAAATGCTATATTAAATGAAGGGATTATTTTATTATTATTATTGTAAATGTTGCTAATTTTAACATTAGAGGGTTGGGGCATGTTTACTCATTTCGTGTGATGACGGATCTCAAGAGGCAGATTCTCTGTAGTGATAATGTCCACGTTCATGTGTGGTTTATTGGTTTGTTATTGTTTTAGAGTAAAGTTGGTGTTTTGTTAGTGAATAGAACAGTAGCAGGGAACTCCCCCCTCTCATGAGATAAAGCAAGTGAGGGACTAATCATTTGATTGTGACCAACATAACACAGATGGCACTCTCTAGATTGGCATTGGAATGTTCACAGTCACTGTTTTGAATAAACTTTCTTGTCCTTATTCTCATAGCAATAGAGAATGATGAAGAAATCAAACAACTTGACAAAGAGATCAGCGAGCTGAATGAATCCAATACAGAGATGGAATCCAGTATGGTGAAGCTTCAGTCACAGGTAAACAATGATAAATTTCTAACTCACAAAAGTCCCATTTTAATCCAAACTTTTTTTGGTCCGGATTTTTCAAAAAGATTTTTTAGAACTGCTGAATAAGTAATTTTTTATGTCAAAATGCACAATTATTTGTTTTCGTCAAAGGGACTAGACAGTTGCACTTTACCCACATGACTTGTTGCCTCTGGTTATATTTAAAGCAGCATTTTATTTCCCTCAGTTTCTTTTAAATCCCACTACTTCCAACGGGTGGAATAAATCAGATTACAGAGCATTTAAAGGAACTGATCAAAGATTAGCATTACATTGATGTGTTTATTTCATGAGTGTCAGAAACACTTAATTCATGAATGTCAAAAGCAAACATGGATTAGGGGGTCCCTTAGAATATTGCTATCGCAATAATTGATTAACTGATCACAAATCGTCACTTCATTTAGAAAAGGTTGTTTGGAAACCATTCTTCCTTCCGTAATGACAAGAGTTCAGAATCCATTATAAATGGTGTTTCTCTGTGTCAGCATTTTGACGAATGCTCAACACTGAGAGATGTGTTTATCATGCTCCGCCCTGCCCTGGAGTAATGACAATTCAGTTTGCGTTAGGAAACGACAACTATATTTTGTGATTTCTTTAATGGAGTTTCTCAATTAAGAAATCATGTCTCATTCCCTTTTCAAAGCAGGGTTCCCTCGGGTCAGCATGACCTATGTTGTGTTACTGGAAGTAGCCCCAATTTATGTTTTATTAATTGAGAAATCCCATTAAGAAATGCCCTGAATTGGCCCCAGTGCGTATTATTTGAAGAACATCTAAGGTCTGGAATGCACGGCCTGAAAGAGCTGGTGGAAACAAATGCAATAACAACTTTCAAAAGGGAATTGGATTGGTCCTTGAAAAGGAAAAAAAAAACTTGAAAGGATGAGGGGAGAGAGCGGGGTAGTGGGACTGATTAGACAGCTCTTCCAAAGAGCCAGCACAGGCACGATGGGCCGAATGGCCTTCTTTGCTGTAATATTCTATGATACTATGTTAGTATTTTGATTGGTGTGCAATACAAGTAGGGACTTTGAATTTAACAGCAATAGGCACATAACAAAACATGTCAGTTTATGGTACTATGGCTGTAAATTAGACTTAGTGATAAGTTACTTTCCTAGTGTTTTCTGAGCCATGAACTAATATGCGTCACTAATATACTTCAGATTTCCAGCATGGAGAAAAATTTAAGAACCATTGAAGATGAGAACAAAGTGATCGAAGAGCAAAATGAAGCATTATTCAAAGAGCTCGCTGGCTTGAGTCAGGCCCTGATTCGTAGCCTTGCTGACATTAAACTCCCTCAATTGGTAAGACAGCTTTATCTCTATTAATTCTGATATATCTACTTTGAGAATATGCCAAAGAGACAAGTACTTTCCTCAAAGTATTTTGTCTTCCTGAAGCTCTCAGTGTGCCGGGTCATTAACTGCATTGCTAAATCCTGTGTCTGTTCACATTCAACAAATATTAAATTTGTTTGGGTTAGAAAACAGTGTGTCAGCATTGCATGGTTTGTGCACAAAAAATATGATGAATTATTTTGAACCGTGCAACTAAGATGCTTTGCTCTCAAACGTAAACAATTATTCTCACCTGTAAATACAATAGAGCTCCTTTTTGACATGTTAATGAAGGCCCATAAATACCCAACAAATGTTACAGCTCATCACAATGACCCACTACTGCATTCACTGTGCAAATGCATTCAAGTCCACTGAGATGCTGCCCTGTGTGGAGGGTGCTATATTATTGCAAGTTGTTGTGTGCGCAGAAAGCAGGCTTGTGGCAAATGCCGGCTGGCCTTATCACGTCAGAAGTGCTTCACGGGAACTACTATGCAGCGGAGTGACTGTGTATTTTGTAGGCAAACCCAGCAGCACAATGGCACACAGCAATTATCCCACAAACGATTGACCGATCTCATTTGGGGGGATTGTTGGCCAAGACACCGGGAGAGAGGATATTTCTTTTCGAATACTGCCATGGGATCTTTAACGTCTACCTGAACAGGCAGATGGGAGCTTGGTTAACATCTCATCCAAAGGACGGCCCCTCCGATCAATGCAACACATCCCCCAGCACTGCATTGGAATGTCAGCTTCGTCTATGTGAGTTCAAGTCCCGAAGTAGGATTTGAACCCACAACCTTCTGAAACTGACCTCAAAACAGTAAAGTTTGGTTCTTCAGTCCTCTCTCTGCCTAATTGCCGGGTGTTTAGAACCTGATCTTAGTATTGCATAACAAATGTGTCTTAACATCATTTGTTCATTGCTCCTCTTTGCAGGCTTATTCTTGTACTGTATTAAGTGCTTTGACCTTTCACTTGGCTTCCCCCAATTTTAACAATGGCCATGACTTGTGATAAAATGCCTTTTTTACATCTAAAAAGATTGTTTTATAGAAGAAAATAATATAGAAGTTATATGAATTCTAGAGCGATGTCTTGAAGCATCTGATTTCCTAGCTGGAGTTACTTTGCCACTGTAGTATGTGGAGTTATTCCTTTGTTTAGGAATAATTACGAGTCCTGAAAGAACGCAATATATCGGTGTCACTTGTCAGATAGATAAATTGGCTCTTATTAAGTGTGGCAGCAGTGGAGACATTAATTTGTAACGTTAGGGCGATGATTAAACTCGTTAACTAGTGTAAAAGGAAAATCTTAGTCGCACACCTTTACCCATTTGCAGTCTTGACGTATGTTCAACACAGAGAATTTAATTTGCTTACTTAGCATTATCCTACGATAATAAATGGAACAGAGGTTGGATCTGGTGGATATACAGTGGAGTAACACTAATAATTTTTACTCCACATTCGCTCAGTAATAAGCCCATTGAAAACAAAGAGCCACATGCATTTCATAACTACACGTTTCTAATGCAGGACAGTACCATACCATCTCTTCTCTTGTTCCAGTAATATTGTTCCGAGTTGATGCTGTTGTTGAAGTGGATTATATGTTAGGTCAAAAAATGTTCATTTTGTGGATTTTTTTTAAGCTACATTTGAAAATATTTAGCTGAGCAGGAGCAGTTAGGCCCTGTAGCAAATTGATATGGATGGGAAATTCTACACTTTATGGAAAAGGTTTTTCTTATCCAGTTTTTGTTTCTCAATAATAATCCTAATTCTCAATAATAATCCTTGGATTTGTTATAGCGCCTTATCACATCGTCGAGACGTCTCAAAGCACTTCACAGAATATACTGTAAAGTGTAGTGGCTGTGTATTTGTGGGCGAAACGCATTGTCATTGCAGTTAATGTTAACACATGCCTACTGTTAGAGTTAGTTACCGTATTTACTTGATTGTGAGGTGCGGATGGATTTTGGAGGGGATGGGAGATAAGAAGATACTTTGCTCCTGTTCTAAGGCGTCACTGAATCACGGTGCACCTTTGGGTTGAAGGAACCTTGTAATAAAAATAACTATGCCTTAGGTTTGAGCGAATACAATACAGTGTGTTGTTTCAGATTGTACGGAAATCACTTGTTTGACAGTTTTACTTTCTTTTTGTTGTTCAGCAGGAACCAATCAGTGAACAGAATTTTGATGCCTATGTTAATACGCTAACAGATATGTATAGCAATATGGAATGCTATCAGAACCCAGAAAACAAAGCACTGCTGGAAAGCATCAAACAAGCTGTAAAGGGCATTCAGGTCTAAATAAAAAAAAAGCCTCCCTAATATTATATAGGAACTGTTCGTCAACCCTGTAAATACAATAAATTTGTGATTGATATTGGTTTAGGAATATTTATAGCAATTACGACCATAGGAATTGCACTTGTTTAGAACAAGTAGTCTGTAACCTTATTGTGTAAATTTTAAAATGACGTCTAAAAATGAATCTGAAAAGCAAATATTGTAAACTATTCCGAATTCTGTATGTTGACTCTACCTATTTATTTAATGTTTGCGACCTATTTATTTAACTTTTTTGTTTTTAATCGGGATAAAACAGAGTTTTAAAAAGAAACACAACCACTGGAGCTCATGAGGATAATATGAGGTCACATACTTGAGCTGTTCCAGCGATCTTTTATGAATTGAATTAACACAGTCAAGTTATTTTTGTATTGTATTATTTATTGCTTTATGAATGTGATTTATTCTCTTTTTAAGTGAAGTGAGAATATTTTATAACTGACATGTTTTGATAATAATTTTTTGGGGAAAATGTTTTTGCTTTTGTTAATATTTTTTCCTATTCATGAAAATATTTTTCAGACCTTTGCCACCACTGGAGCGAGATGATGTATTAACTATTATTTATTTGATATTTAAGCAAATTAATTTAAAAAAATGAAGAGTCCTGACTGTAACACTTAAGAGCCATTTTTGTGATTGATGTATATTTATTTTGTAAGTCTCTATGCGTCTGTCATGTGACATTGGATCTGGGAGTCAGCATAGTCCTCAAACTTAAACGTATTGTAGAGGTGACACAGTTAGAAGCCTTTCTGATTTAATAATTCGAATGCTTTCAAATAGCAATGTGATGACAAGGAAATTAATAGGGTACGTTTACAGTCTTTTTAAAAAGCAGCAGGTTTACAGAATTACTTTGTGCTTCAGTTGCATAACTGTCTGCTGGAATACTTATTGCTGCAAATACAAACAAAAATAATTTTGGCAGAAGTCAGTGGGAGTAAAACCACTCTTTATAGGACAGATGGTGCAGAAGATAAGAGCAATTGCAGACTTCTGTACAATGTGACAACAGCCTAACTGTGGTTTAACACATTCCAGGTACTAAAACTGCATCTGAATTTGTTGATGTCTCAGGTCATTCAAAAACTTGAGATCAGGGCATTAGTGGCACTTCTGCCTCACTGAAAGATTTGTAATTTATAAGTGATGTTTGTAAATCAGAAAAAGAAGCTGAACTTTGTTGCAGTGCTACTGAGTATTGTAATTATTTACTGAAATCAGCACTGTCAAAACACTGTTTTAGTGCAATTTCTGTTGTGATTGTGCATCCCAATGTATGTATCTATGTTAAAAGACAAAAATTACTGTTTACTTGTTTAAGTAAAGTACATCTTGTTGTTCCATCTACATAAGTGAAATAAAAGAAAACAGATGAAAAGAAACATTGTGTTGAACCTAATTTCCACAATTAAGAACTCAGCAGAAGGAATATGGAATAAAGGTTTTATTATCCATCAAGAATTTCTGTAAAGTTTAGTGACTATTTGCACAAAGGATATCTGGATAAATAATACTGATAATTCCATTTAATGAGTGTGGTTTTGGTGAATTTGGATGAGGTAGAGAGATACAAATGGACAGGACGACAGGAGAACTCTGCTCTTTCTCAAAGTAGCGCAAGAGATTTTTTTAGCATGTGAGTGGGTATACAAACATATTACAGCGCAAACATTTAATACTGTTCCTCTCTTCCCTAGAGAACATTGACCACATGTGGCACAATTTATTTTCCATGTAGGGGCATGCTGGGTCATGCCATATTCCTATGGAATATTGCTATGTTTCCTAAATAATCTAAGCAGTGTACTGCCACCTTTAACAATTCTAAAGTTGACTAAAACCTCCGCCCCCCCCCCAGTACCTCTACATAAATCCACCATGTGATGCACTGCTGAGCCATGTAATCCAGGAGAGAGCCAGGCACAATCTGAGGTTACTTATTCTCAGCCAGAGAAAATACCAAGTCAAGTGACATGTTTTCCAATGGACAGCCAGTGTTTGGTAGCTGGCAGTGGATAAACAGTTAAGTTTACTGCACTGGTTATTTTCCACTGCTAACAGAAAGCTTGTTTTTTTTGTTGTAAAAATTGTTGTTAACGCCTGAAAACACAGGGCTGACATGAAGGCTAGTGAAAGAAATCCTGCATCATTGATCGGAGCAGTTCTGACACCACTTATACACAATGGAACTTGAAAGTATACCAAGTAGCTATAAGTTCTTTGTCTTTTTACGCTCCAACCTCAAGCACATTTGGGATTTCTATTTCCAAAGGAAGGTTACCTTAGTTGTTGCCAAACAACAATACGATGACAATCCCCATTTATCTCTATCTAGCGGTGGTATTAGGCGATGCAGACATTAACCGGATCAGATGCAATTCTGTATTTTAAGATGTAACTAGATCTGAATCAAGTAATTGTTTTTTGGAATTCTACTACTGTACCAAAAAAACTTGGTTAGATATTTTTTAAATGAACTTTAATCAGCAAAGAAAGTCTCTACTATTTAACCAGATAAAGTTATGGTTCCATTGGCTTTTTTTTAACATGCACTAAAGAGAAATACTTGTCAACAAAGCTCTAAGGTTCATTCCATCTTAATTCTTCACTGTACTTACCAAGAGTCTTATTATCTGTAGATATATAATATGCTATTATAGATTTAAACTCTTCCATTTGTACAATCAATTACAGATTTCAATATGATTTAAAGCCTGGATTCTCAATCTTATTGAATGAAAAAAGTGAGCCTTTCAGATAAATAAAAGTTGCTTTAATAAGTTAATGTATTCATCAACTGCAGCTGACAGATGGCAGATGATGTCAGGCTTTCATGGGAAAAGCCTTGAACAGCAGGAGATCTAGCTTTCCAGTCATCTTTCTGACTCAATCTTAATCTGTTAATATAGATAACATAAAGTACAACTAAGGTTAGCACAAAGTTCCTTAAGAATAGTTTTTGGTGAACATTAGGGTTAGAAATTAATGTACGAACTGCTTTATTTTTAAAAAATACAGCGTGTAGAATGGTGTTCCCTTGGAATTACCAACATTGCCATTTTCCCCCCACGTTCAGCCCAAATGACAGTGATTGTGGTGTACAAGGATGGCAGCTACATTTATCATGAATTTAAAGATCATTTGTACTTTCCCCAGTGACGGAGTGGATGAATGCCCCCAGTGTGAAACTGAACTCCGCACATGAGCAAGATCCCCGGATTCTATCACGAGCCATGTTGAGTTAGGTGCTCTCAGTCAAAGTACTAGTGAGCAAAGGAACAACTGAACTTGGGGTTCCTGCCTTAGATGCGGCAGGAAAATGATCTTGTGTTTCCATTCTTCAGCACTAACTACTAGTACCTGCTGGAAAATGTGCTTCTGAATGCTGAGATGATAACTTGGCTTTATTACCCCTCACAGTCAAAAGCCCAATAGCATTTCTTGTCCTCCAACATAATGAATGACTACTTTGAGGTACAGGGCAGTACAGACACTGGTGAGAGACACCACCTTCAAGAGAGGAAGGAATAAATAAGGCAAAAATACTGACATGGTACCAAGGACCGTACAATAGTCATTTTCTACATCAGCACAAAAATGTAAGTGTTTAGTCCCATGTGAAAAAAAAAGTGTCTGCAGTATACCAGTGTAGGAAGAGATATGAAAACTCTGGCATTAAAAGTTGTGTCTGTGAAACTAGATTGACTCAATGGGATTAGATATTCTCCTTGCACCTTGTCGAAGTTACCATACTCAGCAGCAAGAGGAATTTCATGCCACAAGGTGCCTGAATTGTACTAAAGAGCTTGTTGCTGTCTGTCCACATACTGACACCCTGTGGCTACAACATGTAGGGTCAGTATTTGGAGGAAATGAGTTTACCCACCCGTATGATTTAAAGTTAGTGAAGCAACAGAGACATAAAATAGGGTTTGAATTTCAAAGTATCTTAAGTTTTAAAACGGTCTTTACAATTCGCACTGAATTTAATCCAAAGTCACATTAATAATAACTGTCCAACTGTTGACACGTCCTTTTGCTTTTCAGTTGATGCGATTCAGATTTAGTACAAAATTTATTGACACTTAAATATTAATATCAAATGAAAGCACATGAATCAGAACATTAATAAGACAAAATGTGCATCCTCATAGCGTTCCTGTGGCTCAAACTCATATTTTTTATTTGATTTTATGTTAGTTTAACAATGTGGCTGTATTGGCAGTGGTTTAAGTAAGATAATCTGAGATGATTGTGTTTATATTCCTATTGCTCTATTCATATAATAAAAATAATGTGTTTAATTCATCAATTTCTGGGTATTCCTGTAGCTGGCTGAGTCTAAAGATTGCAACTATTTCGCTAGAAGCATCAAGGTCAACTTGCCCTGCGGAATTGAGATGTTCAGTGCAAAATTTCTCAATTCCACACTGAACCTAATTACAAAATGACCAAGTCAGCGAAGGGATTTGCAAAGAGCAAGTTTTTTTTTTAAGGTTCCATATGATTTGTTCACCTTCATGGGCGTGAGACCTTGTCAAACGTTTCTTTCATTCACTTCCCCTGAGCAAGATTGCTAATTCAGAAGGGGAGGCTAGGGTTAAAAGCAACTAGATTGTTCTAGTGTTAATCAGAAAATAAAACTGTCTACAACTGGGAACCTAATGGTGGGTAATGGTGTAGACATGACCTACACATGACTCACCTAAAAACAACCTTTAGTAAGGAATGTGTGAACAATTATTTGAAGCAGTGAGTGCCCATTGAAGCTTCCTATTCCTTAGCCCGAGCTGAAGAGCAGTTGTTATGTTTCACTCCTAGCTAGGTTACTTCTCTGAGTGACATTGCTTATTCAATGCAGTTTGGTGCTAAAAGCCATTAGGAAGGATGTTGGGGCAGTCAAATTTCATTTCAGTAATAGGTCCTTACAGCCAGCAAAAAGAATATTCAAACAACAACAACAACAACAACAAATTACTCTTGTATAGAGCCCTTCACATCAAAAAGGACAATGTGTTAACCCATTATCTGAGCTGGTGTCCCTTTGGAAACTTTGTCCATGACTAGAGATCCATTGTCATGTGTTGTGATTGTTAATAAGAATGGATTAATGACTTCGGTTTGAATAGTCTTCTGATGCTCATTGTCCATGCAAATGTGTGGAAGAGTGGCCACTTCAGCAAAGTGCCTCTTGGGATCTGCAGAACTGTACTCTCGCAAGATGTTCTCTGGGCTGAACAGAGGTCAGACTTAAGCTTCTACGTCAAAACTTCACTGGGGGTATCAGAGTAAAAGTCACCTCAGTCTGTGCATAAAATATTTCCACCTTAGGATAAGGAAGCAATTATAGTATATAAATTTTTAAGAGGGGAAGTAGTAAGATTGTTTGCAACTGTATGTTATAGCATTTGTGCTCTTGCACAGTATTGCGCTGAGAGGGAGTATTTTGCCTCTTACTGACTGTCTCAGTTGTACAATGTATAATTAAATGGAATACAGGAGGTTGCAGCTCAATGATAATCTCTGGGCATTGCTTGGAAGCACTCCAAAGTTAACAAGCAGAGGCAAATGAGACGGCACAAACTATGCCCCAAACTATACGGCGTGGGAAAATATGAACCCGCTGTGAAATGACAAGCCATGTTATTCTTGCTGTGCCACATGTTTTTTTTCCCCCCTCTCTCACCAGGGGACCATTTATTCTCTGCGTGGCACAACTTCATCGGATGACGAAGATTAAGAACATACAATTCTATGGCAGATGCACTTGGAACATTATCCAACACCTGTTTTCGCTATGGTTGCATGATCACCTCCTTCCCCCTCCCTCCTTTATACGATGTCTTTCAATCAGCTGTAGAGCAACACGATAGTCTGAGAGGCTAAAGTTATTTAGGTTGACAGTCCCACACGATTCAGCAACATACATAAGAGACAGACATCCTGACAGGCACCGCAACAAATAAGTAGGAGTCACTTGACACGGATTGACAGGCACAGCAGTCAGCTGAATCAGAGGAATGGCCTGACAGCCCACACCACTCGGGCAGAATGGCTGACAGTCGGACACAACACAGTCTCACAGACAAACACAGAAACCTTACGCTATCCCGTGTGAGGGGCACAATATGAATGCAAGTTGTTGTTGTTGTTGGTTGATGTTGTTGACACGAACTGCCAGACAGAATCTCAATCAGAAAGACAGACGGTCATGTCAGACAAGCAGACGGTCACACAGACACAGATTCTCAGTGGCACAGACAGACAGACAGACAGAGTCACACAGACAGACAGACAGACAGACAGACTGTCAGACTGTCAGACAGACACAGAGTCACACAGACAGACAGACAGACACACAGACAAACAGACAGACAGACAGACAGACTGTCAGACTGTCAGACAGACACAGACAGAGTCACACAGACAGACAGACAGACAGACCGACCGACCGACCGACCGACCATCAGACAGACTCATCTTCAGGGGGGTGGGGGGTTACTGTCACTCAGACAGATTAACATTCGGAGAGAGACTGTCACAAATTGGGTCACTTGATCGAGGACGACGACGACGACGACAACAACAACAACTTGCGTTTACGTAGCAGCCCCTCCGCGCCGGAGAGGCGTCAGCGTCCCCGGTGCCGGGGTCTGACCGCGAGGCGGGGGCGGGGGGTTGGAGTGGGGGTGTGGGGGTGTGGGGGTGGGGTGGGGGGGTGGGGGGGGGGGGGGGAGCTGATGGTAAGCACGATCGGTCGTGTTTACGGTCACCTCCCCGCCCATCCCCCGATCTCGATCGATTGATTGATTGATTGATTGATTGATTGATTGATTGACTGACTGACTGACAGACGGCGAGGGGGGGCGGGGCGGTGCTGAGGGGGGCGGGGCCTGCGGTGGGTGGAGGGGGCGGGGCGAGCGGAGGAGACCCCGCCCACCTCGTTAGCCAGGCGCTCGATTTGCATACGCGGTGACGTATTTCCGGCGCGCGTCAGACAGCCGCTCGGTGGTTGACATGGTGCGCGGCGCCCGGGCCGCCGCTGCTGCTGTGTGACTGCGAGGCCGAGAGAGCGAGAGCGAGAGAGAGAGCGAGAGAGTCAGTCAGTCAGTCAGAGAGAGAGAGAGAGAGAGACCGCGGTAAGCGGCGGGGCCTGGTCCTCGCCTCACCCCCACCCCTCACAGACGCGACGCGCGCGCGACTCCCCCCCCCCCCCCCCATCCCCCCCCTCAACCCGCACCACCGACCGGGGGATAAGGGGTAAAATGTCGGCCGCCCCCCCCCCCCGCCCCTCCCCTCCCCCCCCGCCGGCCGCTGGCTTTGCCTCGTTATTGTTGTTGTTGTTGTGGAGACGGCCCATTTGCACACGACGTTCGTCGTCGTTGCTGTTGTTGTGAGGGAGGGCGGGTGTGAGGGAGGGAGAGGCCGCTGCCGGGCCTGACAGGGCATAACACAGCCTCTCCCCCCCCCCCCTCCCCCCCTCCCAATGTGCGGCCGTCAGTTAGTTGGTGTTTATGTTGTTTTTATAGCGCGGCAGCAAACACGAACTACACACACAGACACATACAGACAGACACACACAGACAGACAGACACACACATACACACACAGACAGACACAGACAGACAGACAGACACAAGTACACACACACACTCACAGACACACAACACACACAAACACACACACAAGTACACACACACACAGACACACATACACAGAACACACAAATACATACACCGTATACACACACACAGCATACACAAACACACAACTACACACACACACAGACACACATACATGCAACACACACATAGACATACACCGTACACAGACATACACACAGACACACAAATACAGCGCATGCAAACACACCACAAACACACAACCCCCACAGACACGTACACCATACACACAGCGACCACAGACACAACACTCACACATACAACAACAGCCAAAAACCACACCAGGGAAGCTGCAAAATATTTTCACAACACACACACACAGGGTGGAATCTCTCCGCCCCCCCACAACCCCCCTCCCTTTATTTTTTCATTTTCTTTTGTTGTTTTAAAACTGTTTCGAGAACAAATTAGATGGATTTCTGCTAGAAAATAATATCTGCAGGACACAGTGTATACTTTGGGACCTCCTGCCGATGTGAATGGCGCTCTGTAAATGTAATTTTGTTGTCGTTGTTGCTGTTTGGGGACACGGCATGTCGAGCGACGGCCAGGGTGGTGGAAAGCGAACGAGATGGACCTTGAGGTCTTCTTTTGCCTATCAAATTCTTATGTTCTTATTGCTGGGGTTTGTCGTAGACCAGGCAGGCGCGTCGTGAGACTTGATAATAATAATACTAATCCTTGCATTTGAAAGAGCGCCTTATCACTTCTTCCGGACGTCTCAAAGCACTTCACAGAATATGCTGCAAAGTGAATTGATTGTCTACTTTGTGGACTTGTCACGTTTCTCTTTGAGTTTGGGCAATTTTCTACAAAACTGTAAATGTGGCAGGGTTGGAGAGAGAGAGAGAGAGAGAGAGAGAAAAGATGGGGGAGTACGGGTGGGGCGGTGGGGGAGGTGAGAAATCAGAGTGAATTTTAATCAGAATGATGAGGGACTTGTTTTGAAGGTGTACTGTCATGTTCTATATTTAATCTGAACAAACAGGACTGTTATGTCCATAACTGTCTGGAGGGAATCTGGTTGCATAATATTCAATATTATGCAACCATACCATTCAGATTATACAGCTTTTAACATTTTATATAATAAAGTATTTCGTCGTCCTGCTTCAGTGCTGTTACACTAAAGGACGACTTCTTAAACTCTTTTGAGGGGATTGTACACCTATCATGTCCGAAGAGTTACAGAAATTAATTGGACAATGTAGGCTTGAAATTGCTGAAATCAGCAAGAAGATGTGCATTTTGTTTGTATCTGAGAAACCAGCAACCACCAACTTCACTTTCAGTCGCGTTTGACATTTAATTTGCCCTGAAACTAACACTGCATTAACTGATTTTCTGAAGCTGATTTTTGGAAGTAGTACAAATCCAGATTCCAAAGATGAGGCTCTAAGTAACCAAGACAATTAAGGGCGAGTTGCGCTGACTATATCAAAAAGAGAATTGGTATAAAGCATTCAGTGTTGCTGCTGTGCTATATAATCTGTGAGATAACGGTTTCTATTTATAGCTTGAAAAAAGTAAAATTGATTGTTTATTGAATAGTTTCAGCTAAATCGTTTCAACCACAAGGAAAGCATTACAATTTTTAGTTGCCTGTTGCAATTTCAAGAGACCGTAATCTGTTTACCAGTACATAATCGACTTCACTTATAGATGACCCTTTCAAAAGACTTTGAAAACTGAAGCAGTTTAGGTAGCAGCTCGAACAGCAGGAGTAGTGAAAACTGTTTTCTCCCAGGTGACTTAATTTTAGGCAAACACAAATGAAATTCAGCTCCAGGAGAGTAATTGTAATACAATTTGATAATAATGGTTAAATTTCAGTTGGAATAATTGTGCCTGCTTTTCTCATCCCTCCCTTGCCTGATTTTAAAAAGTCGAGTTAGCTTGAGCATCCCGACAAGTGATATGTCCTGAGGCCATCAGCCTGGGAATGGCCGATCATCCTGTGCTCTCAGCTGTGGTATTAAAATTGAAACAGATCTATTTTTATATTAGATTCCTTTTAATTAGAGGGGAGATAAATCAGAATTATTTTGCTCCTTTCACAATAATTGAAGAAGTATAAACTCGGATTAATTACCGCATGGTGTCAGATGGAGAAGTCTGAAACAAACTGGAAGGGATATTGCCCGATCGGAAATTGATGATATATTATTATATTACATACATTATATACTAAGAGTTAACATTTGTTTACTCACACAAGATAACTGTTAATTATTGTGTGCAACTTAATTGTAATTATTACTGGATCAAGTGAAATGTGACCAAGACGTGTCTTAAACAACTTGTAGAATCATAAAATTGTCACAAGAAGTAATGTAGAAATGACTGAATTACATGTATGTTGTTTTCTTGGTACAACCACCATGTCGGGATGTTGTATATGGGGTGACAGCGAAAGCAGAGAGACGCAACAATGAAGTCATGAATAGGAGCGGCTTGAGTACTGCAAGTCTCGTGTGTCATTCTGAGAAGATTGAAATAGATAGGGCGAGTGTGACTTGACTGAAGGGTATGGCGAAAAGGCAGGTTTGGGGACGAGAAAAATCTGCCAAGACCTAATAAATTGGTGGAACAGGCTGGGTGGACTGAATGGCCTCTTCCCGCGTGATGGAATGGATACCAGGACGGCCATAGTTGAGATTGTGAATGGAAGAGCGACAACTGGTAGTGCTCGACTGGCACAGGGGAGAGTATTGATGGACAAGCACTTTAGCAACTCTGGGCAGTTGGTAATGTCCGTTTAAAAAGAAGTGTTATTGTTTCCAAATATTTATTCTCACTGAGCACAGGGGATATTTTGAAGTGATGTAACTTGATGTCCCTTCTCTACTGCTTTACTGCGTTGTACTATATTTCTAAATAGTAAACAGCAGCGAGGTATTGATAAACATGTGCTACAGTTTATTAAGGAGAAATAAAACAGCAAGCATTTAACAGGGTAAATCTCTCGGGCTCTATGGTATAAATAGTTGAATACAAGTCACTATAAATTATATAGTAGCAGTAATTGTGGCAGGATGTATAATGGAGAGTCCACCAGAAACCTAATGGCTAACACTGGCTATTTACAAAGCTTCTGTGGAAAGTTAACCAGTTCGATGTGAGAGCGTCATGTCCTTCTATTATTTTAAACATCAAACCCTCATTGCTGGGGAACCTCGCTGCCGTTCCAGGACAAATGTTTTCTTGCCGGAAACCTTGCGGGCCTCTGATGGGACGTCGTTTCCTCGTTCACAAAAAAGTCTTTCTTTTTTCTATATTAAAAAAAAAACAAGCAACACCCGCGATGCGCCGCTTAGATTCCAGCAAAAGGGAAGAGTTCTGGGATCTTACGAGACCAGTGCCGCGCGCGCGCGCGCTCAGGTGCGCCAACGGGGGAGTGCGGTGCGTTGTAAGCCACGTGCACTAGATGGCGCTAGATCAACTTCACTGGCAGCCATTGACGAGTGAGTGTAAAATGGTGCACTCTCCTGATCACCATCTGTGTCTGTTCCAGGATCACGCGTCTGTTATGGAGGAAATTCACTGCGGGGTTCTCCTAAAGTTAGGCTCACTTCTTTGGGATATGTGCGCTGACTTGGCGGCTGCTCTGGTTTCATTTGGCCCACAGTGACTTTTAAGTGTTTTATGCCTAATCTAAATTGCAATAATATTTGCTACCAGATATTAATTTCGTGCAGATTGGCCAGAGTTCACCGGAGAAAATATTTGTCCGAATTCCCATGGATTATAACCCTGGTGTTTCGATAGAACTTTGATTGGGAGGAGGGAGAACTCATTGCATTGGCTGTAGCAAGTTCGACGTGCAAACTTCTGAGTTGTAAACTTTAGAGGTTTTGATGCAAAGAACATGGGAGTTACGGAAGCAGAAACATAAGGCAAACATTGAGTGACCATTTTATTGTTGACTAACAATGAAGTGGAGTTTTCTTTGTGATGTCACATACAATATCTCACATTTTCTTTCCTGCCCACAGTTTTGACACTCGAAAAGATGGGAGGTGCTGTGAGTGCCGGTGAAGACAATGATGATTTAATTGACAATCTGAAAGAAGCACACTACATCCGAACAGAGGTAGTAGAACAAGCTTTCCGAGCCATAGACCGTGCCGATTATTACTTGGAAATTTACAAGGATAATGCCTATAAAGACTTGGCTTGGAAAAATGGTAACATCCACTTGTCTGCACCCTGTATTTACTCTGAGGTAATGGAAGCACTGGATCTACAGCCAGGACTGTCCTTTTTGAACCTTGGAAGTGGCACTGGCTATTTGAGTACAATGGTTGGTTTAATTTTAGGTGAGCCAACAAGTTAACAGACAGTTGCGGTTTGTTTCAAGGTTTCTAATGCAAGTACAGTGAACTGCCAAGGGATTATGGGCAGGATGAGTGACGTAAACTTCAACCTGGGCGTGTTTTGCAAAACCTGGAGGCACATGGTCGCAAGAGCAGTTGCTTACCCAACCAATCCGACCAAACCTGAAGGGTTTCCTACAGCCTTGAAAAAATTCTCTTTTTTTAAAAAAAAAGTTATTGCTTTTCTGCCATTTATAAAACTCTCAGAACTGCACAATTATAAGTACATCTTGTGGACTTCCACCTCGTATGATACAAGGGCCTTTTGAAACATTGTAATGCTAGATTAAGGCTGTAAGGCATTAAGTTGATAGAAAGCAAAGCATTTTACTGAAGTCCACCATGTATTAAATGTTATAGTCTATAACTCTTATACCACTTGTATTTTTGATTAAGCAAAGCTTGATAAGATACACGTTAATCGCAAAGTAAAGGATAATATCAGCATGTAGACTCCTATTGTTGTAGTTGAAAACGTGCAACAGGTTGAGAGAACATGATTTATGAAGGAAATCTAGTTTATTTCTGTTGCATTATTTCTCTCCTACCCTCTATATTCAGTGTCACTCAGAGAGCAAAATAGTTCACATCAAAATTCTCCTGAATTAATTTGCGATAACCTGCCTTGAAATAAAGGAGAAATTCCTTGAGAGAAGTACCTTGATCTAATTTGAGGTTGAAAATAGTAATCCTTAGAGTGGTTTTGATTTTGACAACATAATTTTAGCATTATAATTAAATACGGATTGGATATTCTATATACATGACCGTAATTTTGATTAACTGTTAAGCTTCCGCCAGCAGGTCCCTTTGGCGTGAACCATGGAATAGAGCTTCATGATGATGTTGTAGAGTATGCCTACCAAAAGCTTGAGAACTTCATCAAGACCAGTGACAGCTTTGATAAGTGAGTACTGTAGACTTAGACCTTTCTCTTATGGGACAATTGCTGTCATTCTTTCCAACCTGGGCAAGATTGGCAATTCTACTTCTACTGCAGGTCTACCTGAGAACAATTACCTTACAATACAATACAAAATTACATTTGTATAGCGCCTTTCACATCGGGAGGACGTCCCAAGTCGCTGGACAGACCGAGGTTGAATGTGGGACATTTTTGGAGCCACAGCTCAGTAACCATGCAGGCAATGAATTTACTCTAGTTTGTGCATCTTGATTTACGTTTTGCAAGATCAAAATCAATATTATCCCATGGACTTTTATTCATTTTAACATTTTTTCATTTAGTTCTCATTTTCTTTGCTTTTTTCCCCTATTTTTTACTCTTGCAGAAAGAGCAGTAGCAAGAGCTGCTTGGAGATGGAGCTATTCCCAGTGCAATGCTAAAGATGAAGAGCACAAAACAGACAAAATGGCTATTGATGATCACAGCAACACAATTTCATTTTGTTTTATAAAAAAAATCTTTACAGCAGTCAAATGAATTACGAAATATTCATTGTGATTGCTGTTTTTTTTCAATTTAGGTTTGAATTCTGTGAGCCATCATTTGTGGTGGGTAACTGTCTAGAGATTGCCTCAGACAGTCGTCAGTACGACAGAGTTTACTGTGGAGCAGGAGTCCAGAAGGATCATGAAGAGTACATGAGAAACCTGATTAAAGTTGGCGGAATCCTTGTCATGCCACTGGAAGAGAAGGTACATTTCGTTTAAGTTTGTTCAAAAAAAGCAAATTTTTATCAAGTGTGGGTTGGCAGCAAAAATAAGTTGCACAACTGAATAACTCCGTCCAAAGTTTCAAATTTGGGTTTGTTTACTTAAAATTGTTGGTCAGTATCCGATTTTATTTGGAAGGGAACATTTTTAATGGCAAAGGAAATGTTTTATCACTAAAAAGTCACAGCCATGTCATGGTTTCAGCAGCAGTTGAGCACGAGTCAAATGAACAAGAAAGAACTAAAGGATATTAGTGGATTGGTGTCTCTCATTGCAATATTACTGTGTAGGAATTTAGATAATGCAGTTACCTTTTTAATAAAAATTGCTGTGTAAAATATCATTTTCTTCTTTTGTCAATATCACCAGCTCACCAAAATCACGCGTACAGGGTTGAATACTTGGGAAACTGAAAAAATCTTGGCTGTCTCCTTTGCTCCTCTCATCCAGCCCTGCAGTACAGATGCTGGGAAATTGCAAATGGTTCAACTCCGTAAGTTTAATCAGTGCAATTATTAACGAAACACAATTCTCTGAATATCAGAAGAATTGTGAAAGCTTCATAATGTTTCAAAGATTAATAAATATGAAATTGTGCCTTCAATGATGTTCTTTCCAGCTGTTTTCCCCTCAACTGGTAATATCCTACATTATTTGTGTAGTTGTAGTAGCAGAACAGCAGATGATGCATAATTCTTAAATAACTGTTGTTGAATTGTCTTGTTCTGCTCGAGCAGTAACAGCTTTGCTGAGATTAAAAATACTTTTCTTCCTTTGGAGGTTTGATAAGTGCAGTATGTGAATGTGTTTAGCGACTTAACTATATGTAGCACAAGACTTGGTGTAGTAAGGCACAAATAAAGCAATTAATTTTATTCTTAACTGTATAATAACACATAGCTTTATAAGGCACACGTATATCTGCCTTTAGAGAAAGACATTCTGGTGAAAATTAAGTTGAAGCTCCCAGAAATGCGAACAACACAGCAGAGATAGAATTTATTGTTTGTAGAACTGAGTTAGTTATCTGAAACAGGAATAGGCCATTCAGCCCCTTGAGCCTGTTCTGCCATTCTATAAGATCGTGGCTGATCTGTACCTCAAGTCCAATTACCCGCCCTCACCCCGTATCCCTTGATACCCTGACCTGACAAAAACTAGAAACTGCAATTGGTTTTGGAAGAAAATAAACTGGCAATGAAAATATACATCTGTCTTCTGATACTGCCAGCCAACTCCCAAGGAGTGGGAGGCAGGAGAAAACATAAGGGAACAGGGAGAAGAAACTCCATCTGGGATAGCTCGATAATTGATTAGTAAACTTGCTCTATGTGGAATTTTCTTTGAAAGCGTGTTGTGTAAGATTCAACACAGCAGTGGGAAATACTGTTGTGTGTACTTAACCTGGGAATGACATTCCATTTGTGAACAAGCAGGGGGCAAGTTGCTTTCAAGTATTTTGAGCCGAGAATGCAGGTATGCATTTAATGTTCTTCTGGCTCCAGCCTTCGTTGTTATGTTTGTGGATTTTTTAAATCTTTTCTTGGTGCATTTGATTTTTTGTAGCTGATTGAATCGTAACTCTTACGCTAAGTATTGATGTGGAACTTGTCAGTGATGAGAAACTATTTTCGAAAACATGTAAAGTTTGTTTCCTCTAGAAAAACAACAAATATTTTGCTGAGTGACATTTTTATGGGGGGAATGGAATTTTTCTGGAGCTGGAAGGAACAATGACTGTTACTTAAAACATTTCATATTCTAGTTTGGTTTTATTACTGTTATGTGCATTAACACGTACAGTCAGCAATTGTGCTGGTAAAATGATCAGTGCAAAATGTATGTTACGGTATTGCATTCAGTAACACATTCCTTTCACCCCCCCCCCCCAAATAAAAGTTGATAGATGGAATTGTACTGGGTGGTAGAAAATTCTACAGGTTGACCAAAAAGTCGTGTTATCTACGCTATTATCTAAAAACAAATAAAAATATAATTGTTTATTTAAGAATTATTAGACATTCTAATGGCATTACAACTTTTTGGTCACCCTTGATAAACAGGATACTCCAGTATTGTCGGGTCAAGAACGTTTAATATGTCTGCCATATTACTAATGTAGATGAATGATGTTTATGAAATTCATAATTCCACAGCTTCTGTTAACGTCGGAACCCTCCAAGACCTAACTCGGATCTGCATTCGGCGGACACTTAAAAATACGATAAACGAGGAGAAGTCAAACAATGGCGTGCATCCGAAAATCGCTTCCCGGTTTAAGAGGAGAAGGATTCGGCGGCGACGTATGGATGCTATCGTCCTTGTCGACAAGCAGGTGTTTGCGAGTCGAATACCAAACCCTTTTGATAACAACAACAACAACAGCAGCGAGGACATGGAGGACGTCAGGAGAGAGGAAGATGACAAGGAGTACAATGATCTTAAACCTGAGCCTCCAGTAAACTTACTTCGAGAAAAAATCTTGAGTCTGCCTTTGCCTGAGCCATTAAAATTATATCTACTGTACTTCAGAGATAAATAAGTCTTGAAACTGACCAAGTAACACTGTAACATATTGCACTTCAGTTTGAAAGAGATAGGGGGACATATATTGCAATGAGAAAAGTGAGCACTTTTACAGACTTGGTGGATTTTTTTTCCTTATCGATAGTTTACTGCATTCATTTGTTTCTCTCATTTAAATTCGTTCTGGCGTCATTCACATATCGTATTGAAGAATTTGAAAACGTAGTCTGCTTTGCACTGCTGTAAATTACTGCATCATTTATGGTAAAGCACTCCTTTTAAAGCAACCAGATGAATAGAGAAATTGAAAGTGACTATTCCTGTAAAACAGTTGTATCTTGTCTGTATAACAAAGTATTGTAACTTGTAATAACTTGGTAGTTGAATATTGAATACTGTTCAGTTTATAGTAAAGATGGTGAATTCTAAGCACAATTTAGTGCTTTTATATGCCAAAAAATATAAAAAACTGTTTTAATATGTGAACTTTAGAAGTTCTTTTGAAGAGTAGTTTAGTTTTAAAAAATATACAAATAGTATTGGTTACTGCTCAACTTTTTCATATTTTTGCAGATTGCTTGTTAGATTGCAGTTCGATCAGCTTCTGCACAAATTGATATTTGTAGGAACAGATGTAAGCAAATACTTGTTTTATGGTAATTCTCTGAATCAATAAAATTAAATAAAAGTCTATATAATCCTTTTGGTCCCAAATCTTGATTTCCAATTTTTGGTTTTCAGTTTTTTTTGCCTGCTTTTTGCCATTTCCTCTGCTCCCAGGCCACCTCTTAATACTACACCGTATTGCACTTGTTTTTTTACTTCCATGACCATTTTACTCCTGTAAATACCTGAGGATTGTTGTGCACATTTCACAAATGGAATGAGCGCACCACCGTTCTCCTACTTAAAAATCCTTTTGTACTGTGATTTAAAAATAATTGCTCTCCCGATAACTGGTGCCATTGCAACGCTCGCAGCTAACTTCACCACATGGCAGTTAAAACTGACCCATCCCAGTTCATCCAAGAGTTCCTAATGTAACTCCATTCATGGACATCCACTGAATTGACGCAATCTCTTACCTGTCAATTTACATCTGTATTGAGCGTTCCGGGTTACTACCTTATGTGAAGGGCATCATATAAATGCAAATTGTTGTCGTATAACAGATACCCACGCTATAAACAGGAAACGTGATGGGGCCCTGTTGAATATATATATGAACAAGCCAGCCATATGACTGAATTATTTTAAAAATATAATTTTTATAAGGAGTGGGGGTTCCCGGGAACCCGCAGTCGTGGATGCTTTTTTTTTGTGAAAGTCCCATCGTGTTCGAAATTTTTTTTATTCAAAAGAGAAGGGGAACATTTCCCTTACAAGCTCCCATCGATCTTTGAATTCTGGGAACTGTTCCAAGTCCTGATTTTAAAAAATATATAATAATCCTTGTAATAATACTTAGTGCAGCGCCTTCATTTTTATTATTCAAGTTTATATCACTTCAGGCCCTAGCAACTCCCCACTCTGACCTCCTTAAACCTTCCGCCTTCACTCAGCTCTCCCTCGTCCCCTCCGCTCCACCATCGGAGGCCATGCTTCAGCCACCAGGACCTGAGACTACAGAACTCTGCCTCAATCCCTCCGCCTTGCCCCCTCCTTTGCCCATCTTCAGATCACACCTGAAGAATTTTCTCATTGACCCCTCTGTCCTTTGCTCTGCCTCCACTGTTAAACTCTCCGAGTTGCTGCCCCGCGTGAAGAGCGCTGTAAAAAAGCCAAGTAGTTGTATTTTCAATTCAGGCAAAGAGCCCAGTATTGTTTGTACCGCATTTACAAAGCTGTCAATGAAGTAATGTACTGTAGGCTGGGACAAATCAGTTCCGGAAAATATTCGAAAAAAGCACCAAGAGAAATTGCCAGTAGGCAGTGGGTCCGGGATGCAGGTTAAGAGGACATTTTTAGTTAAAAAACTGAAAATATAAAACAAAATTTGCGTGTGGGTGCTTTTGATAAGCAGTGCCAAGCCAAACAAAATGACTATTATTGCCGGACAACTGAATTTTTTTAACGTTGCAAAGTTGATTCCTTTCTTGGAATTCCACGACATTAATAACAATAATTCGGTAACTCCAATCCACGAGCCTTCGCGGGGCACTGCCGCGGCGCAATCGGCTGCCGCGCGCGCTTGGCTCAGGCGGCGCGCCGTCGATTCGCTCGACGGCGCGCCTCCCGGGTGAAGCGCTTTTTGAGAGGTCTCGAAGACGTCGCCTGTGTCAAATGCAACCAACAAGGATATATATATATATATATATATATGATTGTTATTTGATATGACTAAACGTGGGAAAGAATCAGGAAACGGACCAAAGCCGTCTGGTGGAGTGACATCTGTGTGTGTGTGTGGATCTGTGTGTGTGTGTGGATGTGTGTGTGTACAGAGTACTATATTCACTGTATTTGGGTATTGCACAGTAATTCCCAGAAGCAGACTTGGGTGAAAGTGGCGTCTGGAAGCTGCTGGGGTGAAATTGACTGGTGGGATTGGACACACGTGCCTCCTGACTCCAACCCCGAGCAAATTTTTTTTTGTTTTTCTGGGGGGTGGGATCGCTTTTTGCATCTGATCCCTGGGCGCTCAGATCAAGGTAAAACTTCGCTGCCCAGTCCATCATGTTGGCAAAGCCCCTGGTCCTTTTGCTGAGCGTCCTGTCGTGTTTACCTGCCCACTCTGGGTCCTGCCCGAGTCGCTGCCTCTGCTTTCGGACGACTGTGAGATGTATGCACTTGATGTTGGAAAACATCCCCGAAGTCACTGCACAGACAACTATCCTGTAAGTAGCCCTTTACTTTTTTTTTCCAACCCACTCACTCACTCACCCACTCACTCACTCACTCACTCACCCACCGAGTTGCTGCTGCTGTTTGGCTTTTTGGGGCTGTTTCCTATCCACAGTAGTCTGTCCCCATTTGTCCTCTCTGCAGCTCTCGGTGAAAAGAGTTTTATTCACCCAAATTGCACGGGTCGATTGCTGTCTCTTACTTTTTAACGCAGCCACTGGGTTTTTAAGAATAACTTACTTTTTTTTGCGCCTCTCCCTGAAAGTTGGGACTTGACTTAACAGTTTCAGGCTGGTCGGTGGAGGCACCGAGTGAGCCCTGGTGTGGTTGGGGAAGGCTCTTCTTTGGGAATAGGATTTGCACTCATACATGTACTTCATTGCCGAAAAGCAATGCGAAACAGTCAGCAATGCCGGTTGTAAAAGTGCGACTTCTTTTTTTATTCCGAGATATTATTTTGTGTGGGTTTCCAGTGGTGCGAGAGGGCACGAAAAGAGAGTGAGGGAGGGAGGGAGTGAGGGAGTGAGTGAGCCGTGGGCTGACTCCTTCCTTCACCGATTAGGTTTTGCATCAAGTGCTATTTACTCAAGTGCTCTGCATTAAATTATAGAAAAGCAAAAAAATATTTATTATATCTTTGCTTAAAGTCTTCTCTCTCTCCCTCCCTTCCCCCCCACCACCCATCACCCTATTTGAAACTTACCAGATTCCAGATGTGGAGTATCAATCCTCCCCTTGCACTGAAATTTCCCAGCTGTGGACTTTCAATGTCACCCCATCTGATTGAACTTTGCCAGATGTGGACGATCAATTGGATTTTTTGGTGGGTGCGTGTGAATTTTGTTTGGGAGTTTCTGGAGAAGTAGATCAATTAGCGTCCGTCCTTCAGGTGAGACGTTAAACCAAGGTCCCCGTCTGCCTCTTCAGGTGGAACGTTAAAGATCTCATAGGCACCTATTCGAAAAGAGAAGGGAGTTTCGCTCTCCCAGTGTCCTGGCAAACAGTCCCCCAAATAAAATTGGTCACTCCAAGACATTGCTGTGCACAACTGGCTGACCTGAGATCTGATCATAAGCTGCACTTTGCGAAGAGGTGGAAACTTCCTGGAAACTTACACCCAACCCTTAAGTTTAAAAAGAAAAACGGCAGATGTTGGGAAATCTGAAATCCAAACAGAAATGCTGGAATTCCACAGCTGGTCAGGCAGCATGGGAAAGTGCAATATATTTCAGACATAACTTCAGATCAGAATGGGAACTGTGGGAAAAGGAAACTCCTATGTGAGACAGAGGAAAGCATGAGAAATTCTGAAATATATTTCAGACATAACTTCATATAATAATAATGATACTTCATTATCAGAATGGAAACTGTGAGAAAGGGGAACTCTTATGTAGGATAGAGGAGAGCAAGTCTAACAAAACGTACAAGTCTTAGTCTTGCTGTTGATTTGAAGTGTTGGGTGACATGTACTCATTGCTCACTGGTTACTTAATAAGAATCCTTACATTTATAAAAGTTGGTACATTTTGATTAAACCGGCTTATTAAACCAAATAAAAATAGTCATCTTAACCTTTCTGATATGGTATTCAGTTACTTTTATGAAGGTTTCCTCACTTCTAGCACACTTAAACTTTGTTTATACAGTACTTTCAACCCCACAGAGATTACATTGAGTTCAGGTCATGAGTCCTGTAGCTCAGTGGTTAGAGCGCTCACCTCGCAAGTGAGAGGACCCGGGTTTGATTCCCGGGCAGGACGAAACCTTAGGCAAGCTTCCTTACTCCACAGCCTCTGTTTACCAAGCAGTAAGTAGGAACCCAGTTGTTAATCAATTGGTGGATCGCTTTTCCGGGGTAATAATCCCTTAAAAAAATAATAATTTGGTCATTCAATCTATGACTGTTTGTGGGACACTGCTGTGTGCAACTGGCTGCTGCGTTTCGCCCACAAAATACAATCACTACACTTTACAGTATATTCTATGAAGGTGACGATTCAAAGACGTCATAAGACGTTATATCAAATGCAAGGATTATTATTATTATGATGATGATGGGAACTTAATGGATCCCTTAGGGTTTTTTTTNACCGAGGGTTGCCTGAGTCTGTTCAGTTGCTGGAAGATATTAAATTATCCGTTGAACATGTTATACAATATTTTGATTTTCAGCTGAAATCAATGGGTGATGTTTATTGATACTAACCCAAATCTCTTGTTTCACAACTGAACATTCACAATGGGGAGTCGTTTTTTGGATTGCAAAATCCAAACATGATTATAACTTAAGTTTGCTATTTCTTGGACATGTTACAATGCCCTGGGTTATAATGAAGCTGTGGATTTGCATCGCGTGGATTGCTTCTTTTTATTGCGTTTTATGTTCAAATAATTAACTGCAGCTTTCCCCTTCCGTGGCTCAGTGGGTCCGTGCACTCCCTGCACGCCGGGAGCAAACAAAAGGTTCATTCTGAGGTCTGTACTGTGTTAGTTCTTGACTTCGCTACTGATACGTGAGATGACGCTGCTTAGAATAGTAAAATTATAAATGTACCGTATCATTAGATACGTCATAGAAAGTCAATCAACAACTTCGTTCTTGTATAATTGTCATCAATCCCGGCATTACAGCTGCCAGCTTCAGCAACCTGCGAGATCGCACAGTTTGGAGCCTCTCTTAGACTTCTTTAGCGCTCCGGGGCGCTACCCTGTGTGAGGGGCGCAATATAAATGCAAGTTGTTGTCGTCGTCGTTGTTTAGGCGAAGGTGATCCGTACAAAATGACCAAAAGACGGTTTCAAACCGACGCACAAAACGATTGAGTATAACATTAATTGTTCAAAATATGTTGAGTTCTGTTTGGTGCCAAGATCCCTAATCCGATCCCATGTGCCCCTCACTCCCCAGATACCTCTTCCTCTTTTCAGAAAGATCTGATCATATGCAGAACTATCTTTCCTTTATAGAACCTGGAAACCAGTCAAGTCCCTACAAGTACCACATTACTGGATTAATCAATTGTTAACAGTGAGTTTGGGAGTAATCAGGGGGGAGAGTTTCAAATTGGGCCACTCATCACTCTGGAAGAGATACAGCACTGTCCTTGTCCCACTTCCATTGAACTTAGTGTCCTCCGTTGCCCAAGTTTTTTCTTAAATAGTTGAAGCTTGGAACACTGTCGTATTGGCTTGCAAGGTAGAGAAATTCTCCAAACATCTGGATGAATTTATTAAAAACAGTGTTTGTAAGGAGCAGAGGCAAGGTACCACTGTGATGTTAATCACACCACCAAATCTGGTAAATACACGTCGCCTCCCCCTGCAGACTCCCAACTTATTATAGTTGGCATTTGGTCATAGCTCAATTTCAAAATCTAGCTGAATAACTCTCCATCATTTATACCGTACTCTTCCCCAATTGCTGTTATTCTGACCCAAATCTGCAACATGGGGTGCAGTGTATTTCACACTTATTTAGTGCTGCTGTACTTGTTACCAATGCAGCGTTGCCAGGAATTTCATAGCGATACTTCCAGTTATTACATACTTCAGAAACAACTCGCTGGCTCTGGGAGGTGTTTCTACAGGATAAAATCATCAGAAACCAGATTGCTTTTTAGAAAAGTGCAGTCAGACCTGGTCCCCCAAAACCATGACTTCACCTCAACAAAAGAAACGTTAGTTAATGTTCATTTGGGTGGTAATGTTTGTCAGTTTTCATCGCAGAAAGTATTTATAATAATAATAAAAATGCTTGCGTTTGATGTAGCACTTTTATCACACCAGGAGGATGTCTCAAAGCGCTTCACAGAATTTACTGTAAAGTGCAGTGACTGTGTATGTTGTAGGTGAACCAACAGCCAATTTGCAATCAGCATTGTCCCACAATCGGCCATGAAATGAATGACCAGGTTTTTTTTTACTGGGGCTTGTTGGCCAGGATACAAGAAGAAACTTTTTTTTCAAATAGTGCCGTAGGAACTTTAATGATCACTTAAGCAGACAGAAGGGATCTGAAGGACAGAAGTGAGTTTGGCATCTTATGTCATCCTTGTCACAGTCAAACTAATCTAATGAATTATTCACTAATTACTTGTTCAAGTAATACACTGTTCCCTGCTTGATTGAAACTCCACTCCCAATTCTTTAATTTAGCAACCAAAAGAACAAAGCATTCATTGACGATTGCATAAAGGTACGTTTGTTCACACAATGGTTTGTAGGATTTCACTATTTGAAAGAAATGATTGAGACCAGCGCAGGTACATAAAGAACATTACACATGTCTACTTCACCGGAGGCTCACTGACTGCCCACATTTACTTCTTTTTCTTTCCTGTGCCATTTTCTCTTTTCTTAGTACTAAAAATATTTATCCTGGACTTTAACATTCACTCCCTGTTACCAACAATTGTATAAATTATTCATTGCCTTCAAATGGAATACAATCCTGTACCTGTGTAGCCTAAGGAACTGAAATACATTACTGTAAATGCCCAGAAATGTGTTGATTTCTGAAGTGAGGCACTGGATTCTTGCTTGCTTGTCCTTATTTAATTGACGAGGAAATGGCAGAAAAAGGGGTATTCTATAGCGAATCACAGAATTAGCGTTCGTAGCGCCTCACGCTTCGAATATCAGTGCTTTATTGCAGTTAGGGTCGCGTGTAGTGACTTTTTTTGTAAGCAAACATGGCAGCTGTGTTGACATTATTAGTAAAGTCTCACAAACTTTCATCAAAGGAATGTATGTGGATCATTGTTGGCCAGAACACAGAAAGAACCCCTGTTCTATTTTCAAAGTCTCAGTGATTTGACAGACGGGGCCTTGGTTTAACCTATTAAACGAAGGACGGCACCTCCTACAACGCAACCTTCTGACCCAGAGGAGCAACAGTTACAAACCGAGCCAAGCTGACACCACTTAAAGAGCCTGAAAATCAATCTGAAAAAGTAATTGTATATTTTGATATGTTACGAGAATCTGACCGT